GCTTGAAAAGTGAGCAGCTTAGCTTGACTGGAAGTAATCCACAAACAAAATAAAATGTTTCCTCATCAAATGTTAGTTTAATCTAAACAATGTTAATACACAGGAATGAAGCAGTTTGTAGCGAACTACACTCATGTGACGAAATATATTCATTTGGACGCTTTTAAGAGTTTAAGGTTGAAATGATTGAAGAACGTTGTGGCCTTATGCAATCAGTGATGTCAGTAAAACGATTGGCAGGTTATACGAATGCTGGTACATCGTTACCGTTCTACACTGATGAATATATGAATCCTCGTAACGGATTCGTACGTGTTATGACTGAATTGTTGGGTGATATTGCTGAGCGAATTGTTTACAGGTGAGTTTCTCAGCACTGTTTTCATATTTCATATTTGAATTTGATATTATTTGATTGAGTTGATATTGTTAAACTAAATTAAACGGTTAGTTTGTGATTTCATTGCTCCACTGTTAAAAGCATGTGTATTATGCATTATCATCCAGACAGTTGCAGAACTAGTTTGTACGCTCAATCGGATATAGCCGAATTCATTCCATCGAGTGGAGATTTGGCCTATCCTGAGAAATTGGAAATGATGAGAAAGATTGAAAAGGAACACACTTTAGAAAAGATATTGTTTTTTCTAGTATCAATATTTCCTTACTAAAGTTTTTAGAAGTTAAAAATATAGAAATGGAACAGAAAATATTCAGGATGATATAAATGCAACTTCATCAACTTCTGCAGTCAATCTTTACTGTTTGTGGTATCCAACTGTCCGACGTACCGTGCTTTCTCTTTCTAAATTATTCAAATGTTTAGAGGTAATTTATTTTTTAACTTCTTCAGTTTAATGTACTTAGATCTGGATTTAACGGACTTTAGGTTTTTGCTTAAAACTATGAAGCCGCCAATATTTTAGCCTTTAGTATTCCAAAGCATTGCTCATGAGCTGCTGACAGCATGTTGCCAATCATTGGAAGATGCAGCAGAACAGATTCGGAATAGCGCTGCGGAAAAGATTTCGCTCCCTCGTCGATTCCTGGATGCCGAATTATTTATCGTGAAACATTTGCTGATACTGCGTGAACAAACAAGTCCGTATAGGGTCACTGTGCCACCTGGTAAGTAATCCTTACCGTTTCTATAAATTCATAGATATATATCAGTAATGTAACATTGGTTTTATGTCAGTCGAATTACAAAACTGTTATAACGCAGTTTTATCGATTTAATAAGGAAATTTTAATTTTAGGAAGCACGCTCTCTGATAACATTCCGCAGCGTGATTACGTGTTCGACTTCAGCAAATATAGAACTTCCGCTTCGCAGCTCTTTCATGACCGTCACAGATGGTTTGAGTTGACATCAAATAATGCTTTCCTGGAATTTTTGTTGCAAGTATTTTTTTTTCCCATATAATATTACATTATTACAATAACTTAAGTTGTTTTTTTATAGTACTGTTTATTTTTCAGATATACAAAGTTTTTTGAAAGCTACATAATGTATTAGCAGCTTAAACATTGTTAACTGATTCATTTTAAGGTACCACTGGCAGTTACGGAAGCAGCTGGTGATAGCCGGCGAATTATTGATATTCGGTTGAAAACTCACTGCCATAACCTGATAAATACAACCAGTGATATGATTATTTTTGAGTTTGCTGATTACATTGCTAAAGCAGAGAAGACAGTAAGTCATTTCAAAATGGTGTACCTTGATTTTACTAAAAGTTCTTTCTTTATGTTATCTAGTTACGTTAGTTTTTCGAAGCCATTCTGTACAATAACTTCTGTTTTAGGCAGCAACTGCTGATTTTGACCTTGCAAAAAACGATTTTCTGAAGGCAAGTAGCATGCAAAATTTTGCCGGTCAAGCATATAAAAAAGTGACCCATTTATGGCCTGAGGTAGACTTTTTTAAACTACTTTTCAAGCTTTTTTTATTCTCAATATATCTTACTGTTTTTTCTCTGTCCTTCTGTTTAATTGAATTCACTGCTAGTAATATTTGATGGACTGTTATATTTCTGATATAACTTCATTTAATATTATTATAGATCAAAGAATGTTTCGATCTTTATATTGGTTTCAAAGAGACTGAAAATATTTTATTGCAGCCAATAAAGAAGAGAATAATTGACGTGAGTTCCTCTTCTTAACTCCATCTGCTTTGAAATGCTGTCTTTATGACAGACTGAGGATAACGATTTCGTAGCCATTAACAGTTGTAAGATTGATTCATTTCCACTCGGTTTGAATTCCTGTGTCGGTTCCCTTTCAGGTATTTACACGTGCAGGTACTTTTGTTGATAAATTTTACGATGATGAACAGAAGCAGATAGCTAGTCTTCCTACTCAAGACCATATATGGTTGGTAATGAATGTTTAATTTCGTTGGTTAAGGACGTTTAATTTCCCGATTTGATACGATTTTAAATTGTGCTTCACTTTAATTCATTGTTTCATGGGAATTCTGAGAAATAAAAATAAGTCATGGCATATTAACCAGTCTTAGCATTAGTAGGTCTGCCAGAAATTCATTGTTCCATTGTGTGAAAATTAAATTAATTTGGGTTTTTTAGTTTTTTCAAGTGTTGAAATTATGACATGCATGTATAACATGGCGGGGTAGTGAATTGTCATAGAAATTATTTACTGATAAACGTTGGATTTGCCCGATTTTGCACCAACTTGTCAATGATACCAGGATGGTGAATATTAGCATAATTCCTTTGTGTTTACTGTGATTTTCTTCGTCCAGTTTCTGATCCAATTTCTCAAGTATTTCATTTTTTCAAGCAAAGATCTGCAGTGCGGCAACTCATGTTCAATATGGAAAGTGCTTTTTTCCAGGTGAATTTATGACAATGCCTTATATTAACGCTATATATTTTTTTGAGAAGCAATTCATTCAGGTTCAAATAATTTGAATAAAAATGTAATTCTGGATAAAAACAATCTTCTGCACGATTAATTAAACGTAGCCTGCCTTATATTATATATGAGTGTTGCGATATAGCTATGGAATTTCATGAAGTTAATTTCAATACCTATCAGAAAAGGCATACCACGTGGTTGTTGGTACATGGCATCTGTTGCTGGTTTTAGCAAATTTGCCAGTGCTTTACAGTGGCGTTACGCATCATAGTTCCAACATAAATCTATCATGTCTTAAATGCTTCTGCGGATATATGAACATTTTTAGTGTTGTCACTATAAAAAACTCAATTGAAATATCGAATTGCTTCTACTCCCAAAAAAGCATCTCAGACTTACATACTACTCTATCAGTAGCTTACTCTGCTCAGTAACGTTTTGACACTATGCGTTTATCCATTGAACATTTAAGGATGCTAAATTTGTGCAGATACTCTGAAAATTTATTTAGCCGTGGTATTATCAGTGGTATGTGCACGACTAATAATTTGTATGAAAGGATTGAACCGAACATTCCACCCAATAAAATGTTTATCCTGTCCTGGGAGAGATATATTGGCCATTGACTGAAAATGAAAGTGTATTGTAAATCTCTTTACAAAAGGCGGATAAAATTATATGACGTGAGTTATCTATAATGGTTTTGAATATTAAATTAGGGGTGAGTAATTTTAAATGAAAACTAAAAAAAGGAGTGGTTACTTTCAGAAATTTATTGTAATAATGAGTTCTAAACAAAGCACTCTGTATCCTTAATTATGTGTCTTTTCAAAGACCTTATGGCCTCAAATTCTCTTTTAAATAATTCATTATTAATTGAACTTTGGAATAGAATTAACATTCCAAAGTTGCGTTTGGGACAAGGAAGAAACTAAAGTTTAATATTCGAAGAGTCAAATTCCAAAAAACTGATAAGCTAGAGGAAGCGTTAATATAAAATGGAAAGAAAATCCAAGCTAACAGATATTTGATTTGTCTCAAAAGTGCTACTACATTCTGCTTTAATGATACTTTTGTTGGAGTACTATGGTGTTAGGTAAGCTATAAGGAAGTAATCTAAATTAGAAATTTGAACAATGTAACAGCGATGCATTGCTTTGAATCGTCTCTTACTGCGAAATGCTCCAATTTGCTGTAACAGTATTTTCACTGGAAATAAATCAAAGTTCAAACTAGTGACGAATCATAAAAAGTTAGTGAAGAACTTAAATATGTTGGGAATGGTATATGATTTAATGACTGTTAGAAATTATGACGTCTCAATACACGTATTACATCGTCGTTAATTATTGCTTCACAAAAACAGTCAAATTAATAATTGTCAGTATATGATTAACAAATGAGATGTGTGCCATCACTTATGCTGTTCTCAGTGAATGAAGTGCTTCTATGAATGTAGGGCTGAGAAATTTTTAGGCATTCGAGTAATAAATTGTGAATAACGTACAGATGACAACGTAGCATCTCGAGTTTAAAACAAAAAGTTTAATTTAATTTCTCTTCCGACCACAAACCTGGAAGATAAGTGGTCTATGCTGTATTAATTTATTTCTTCTGTCTGATTCCAAATCGTTGACTACTTCAGTTCGATTCGTCTGAATGCAATTTGAATGATACAGAAATTTTTCTGCAGATATGGACAGACTTTACAAATTATGATGTAGGTCGGCGAAATTGAAATATTGATCATAATAGAAAGTGTAAGATAAAGAATTATAGCGCCTGATACTATTGATGGCGGTTGATGCACTGTGATCCTCTAAAAGATAGAAAAACTTTTGATCATTGTTGTTATTGAACATCCTTGAGAATTAAGTCTGAGTCTTTTAGACTTAGTGTAGATATTTGTATACAAAGTAATTTTATTTATCTTTACATTTACTATTCTTCTTTAAATCAAATTCTCTTATCTTTTGTTAATCAAAATTGTCGTTTGTTAATAAAAGGAAAAGTTGAATAGTGAATGTGGTTACAGTGTTAAATGAATGTGTTTTGCAGATAAAGTGTAGAGATTTAGTAATATGCCTTGAAATTATTGTTCTGTTTTAGAAGCTATGCATGGTACAGATAAAAAAAGAAGATCTTTGTTAAACAAAACAACAGAGTCTTCTGAACCACCTATTAAGTATCGGCGTATTACGGAAGAAAGTCAGTTTGAATCCAGTTTTTTACTCCTAAACAATTTTTTGTCTTGTCTATACCATGCATAACATTTAATTTCAGATTGTCGTAGTGCGAAAATAATTGAAAGCGAACGCAGGTTGGTTTTAATGGTACTGTTTTTGTATAATAAAGTATGAAGGCTTGCTCCTGTTGAGAAATATGAGAGTTTGGAGATATCCGTATAACAACTTACTTAGATGATTCACCGGAATAGCTGGAATTTTATTAAAGGAATTTAGTAGTATCTAAGATGCTTTCTTCAAATGTTTCAAAATGACTTGATACATTCGTTATTTTTTTGACAAAATAATTTCACATTATTAAGAGTAGTTCATATAATACTCAAAAGAATTGTGTTCAGATTAAGTGATAATGCAAAACTTCCTCCGGAATCCTCTACTAATGCATCAGATGTTGAAGTCTATAACGACCCGTCAAACTTCCTCAGCTGCAATTGTCTTGGTTCACCACGACAGGTCATTCCTAATTTCTGCACCGATGTTTTCCATAATTTTATATAAAAGACGACAAAGCGATATGTAGATTTGTAGAAAGATATGAGTTACAGGTCTGGCAAATCCTTTGCAATTCGCGTGATAGACTTGACGAAAGAAGAGTGGTAAGATGCAAGATAAAGAAGGTGAAAGGCATTCATTTCCGAATTACTGCGCTCCTGCTAATGATGCAAGTAATAACTTTCTTAAAAAACGAATAATGAACTGATTTATTAATGATGCTAATACGATACAGCTCATAAACACAGAAGATCCAAACAAAGTAAGCGTGATTCTAGCTATGCGAACATATGGAGTATCGTCGCGAAACATACCACCGTGCTGTAGACATATTCGATCGTGTAATGACCGTGTTTGACTTTGCAAATATGGATAAGGGAGATGTAATTTTCACAGGGATTTTCGTCGTCTTCATCGCTTCTAAATTAGAGGTTGATTTTCTATCTCGGATTTTTAATCCAAGCGGTGTTTTTAACTAGCCTTGATACACTTGGATTTAGAACAGACTGAATCCTTTACTTTGAGGACCGAAGAACTTGAAACTCATAGGTCCCACTTAGATGTTACATTTTGCCATGTAGGAGTTGTTCCTTCTCGATTATTAGAAAAAAGAGAAATCATGAGTGGTTGAATCACAAAACTTTTAATACACCAAGGAAACAACACGTTGTTAACCACAGAATATAAAGTTGATTGATTCTCAATGAAATAACACTAAGTAACTCAGGAAAGGCGAAAAAACCATTGGAAAACTATAGCGGATTACGTACGTCAAGTTTCCCCATGTGGTCGCTTGGAAACAGAAAATATGTTCGAACTGGAAATGAAAATAATTAGCGTATGACAATTTTTTTATATTCCACAATTACGTAGTGCATTAGCAGATGCGCAGCACGAACCCTCCTCAGTATAAATCTTTCCTGCTCTCTGTAACAATACAAATAAAGAAAATGGACCGAAGTTCATAAATGCCCAAATTTCCAGTTTGATATGAGGAAGCAGCTAATTTTACAGTGCTAATTTTAGAGTGTCAGTTGGTCATTAAGGACTATAACTGCCTTAGAATGGGCTAAAATATATACGCATATGACGCGAGTTTATACCATATACAAGCGAATTTGTAATCTAACCTTGGCCCATCAGTCAACACCAACTAAAAAACGAACAAAAATAACATTAGGAGTATCTGATGATGAAGAAGTGGATTTCTTCACATGGGCAGAACTGGACGATCTCGTCATAGGCGAACCATCATCTCCAGGTGATTGGAATAATCGAATTGCCATCGCACAGGTATATTTTTATGTGCTTTGAACTGAATAAAACTACTGAACATTAAATTTTTTTCACGTCAGTATTGTGATTTTATTCACTGCATAACAACTAAAATTTCTGCGTTTTCTTTCAAACACGAACTCCTAAGTCCTTTGCTGCTTACTGATTTAAATTTATTTGAATTACAAAGAATTTCATCTAAAGAACAAATGGTCATTCATTTATTACTATTTATGTCATTTAGCACAGTTAAAAATGGCCTTTTATAATTCAGATAAAATGAAATGCACACCTACTTTTATTTTTAGGTTCTAGATCTTTGCACGGCAGATCTTTACAGCTTTAATTTTACATACCGTCAACTTGGAGCAGCAGCATGTATTTCAGTGTTGGGTCTAAACTATGAAATAGCAGCAAAGATTACAGGTCTTTTTTGAATTTAAATTTCCGAGTAAACCACACATTACGACTTGTTTGCAACAATACTAAATTTGCACGAAATGTGAATTGTCAATTCTCTTTGCAGGAAGATCCCTGCTACTCGAGAAACTATTGAACATTAAATCTTTTTCACGTCAATGTTGTGGTTGTATTCACTGGCAGAACAACTAAGATTTCTGCCTTCCTCTGAATTAGAGTATTATGTTTAATAAATATTATGGCATTTTTGGTAAATTTTCTGGAAACCAATAATTTCAGGCCTCGAAATGAAAGATTTACGACCTGCACTAGACTTCGTAAATTCATATCGACGAATCTATATGGAATATGTCCACAAGGAAGGCATCAATTTAGCTGTTGTTCAGAATGATGACCCACTGCATGGTTTGGAAGAATCAGATGAAGACGAAGAAATTGAAGTGGTGGAAAATCGAGATGAGAAACCCAGCGTCCCGGAATCGATACAAAACGTTGAACATATACAACCAAAAATGTTAAAAACTAAAATAAGATTTCCGACTCCAAAATGCAAGCCTGATCATGAAACTCTCAAAACATCAGGATTCATCAATGAAATGTCGGAGAGTATTGGAGATGTGTCAGAGGAGCAAGGACCGTCAAATACCTCGCCTAAATTCAGGAAAAAATCAAGAATATTCGTGTCTGACACAGAAGTGTCATTGCTGGAAATTAATATCAATTCTCCGAGCTTCCAGAATATTTCTATAGAAGCCAATATACCAGAACAACAGAGACTAAGGATTTTGTCATCTAAAATTGAAAATAAAAAAGAGATTAGGCGACCCATTAACTTTATCTTTATGAAGAAAAAACAACTTCCTACCGCATTATCCCCAGTAGTTGCAAACATGTTCTTTCAGGCTCCACCACCAGAAACACAAGCACTTCCATTGCAGGTATAGTGTTTTCAGAAACAGAAAGTAACGAGATGCGCATAATACAAGCATAATATTAAATGACGGAGTAAACCGTCGCTAAAAGTTGAGATCCTTGGAACCATCTTGCAAAAGTCTGACTTGAAATCATGATTCAGAATTTCATTACTTAATAGAAAGATATCAGAATATTTGCAATCACTCACATTGGGTGATTGATCAGAACCGACTTCTGACAGATTTACCTTTCGTGGCTATTTAATGCGTGTGATCTGGTTCTGGAATAGAATACTGTATCAGGTGGTTAAAAAAAATAGCAAGACTGGTTAAGCTCTTCAGACCATTTTTTTTTAGGTGCCGGTGAGCCATGCTACAAACAAGGCAGAAAATGCAGAAGTCATTGAAAAAAGATGCAAAAAAATTATCGAGATGGAGTGTGAATGTGGATGTGGAAAACGAGACGTAATTGACGACAAGCTTGAATTAGAGAGAATGATCAGTTTATTTTCACATCAAAAGGGAGAAGGGAAAGCCGTTGCAAAGTTATTTATATCCAAACGTAATCAATGCGGGGAAACAGAAATATTGCGTGAGATCGCTATCCCCCATCCGATTGAAGTTCTGGAAAAGCAAATAGGAAGATTCTATACTCAGTCTTTTCCCCTTGAAGCACAAATAACGGTTAGATCTTTTTTCGAAACATTACAATGATCAGAGGTTAGATGGATATGCTGCTTTGCCATTAAAATATGCTAAACAATAAGTGTCTTTTATTCGAAGGCTGCATACATCCTTCAAACTAAACCAAAAAGCTAAATTAGACTTTGTCGGGAATTGCGTACTTACTTGTTCAACCACGCAAGTCGAAATATAATATATGCTGATTTTCTTTTCTTACCATTTATAAAAAGTTACTGAAATACCATATTGCAGCGTAGTTCTTGAATTTGCTTCATCAAGCTATAATTACCGCAACATATTTCTTCCTTTTCCTATTCTATGATTTCAGCACCGTGTCATAAGACGTTTACAACGATTTTGGCTGGCGTGTGAAAATAGTCAGCCATGCAAACGCCGGCATTCCCATTCAGCATGGCAAAATAGACGTATAAACGTAAATGTGCAAAGAAGAAAGTCCAGATGATCCCTAAGATTTAGTATGTCGAATCCTGAAATTACTCTAATGATTGTGGAACTGCCATTCTAGTGGTTCAGGAAACTAAAAAAAAGTAGGTGGGAGTATGGAGAGAAGTGTTTTACAAATTAGATAATATGCTAGCGAACTGGAGAAAGATGGAATTAGAGGTAGCACTGTATTGATGACTGTATCATCTGATGCTATGTTTTGTGCTAGTATTATAAGTTAGCTGAAGAGAACTGCACTCATCATTTCAATGTATCTGTTTGTACACTTCACTTATATTTCACTTGGGCCAGTCCAAGTCTACATAATTCACTGAAATACACCCTGAGATTCTTGGCACACTTAGTGGGACCACATAAATCTATCACGCCTGAGGTGCATTCGGACTGACATCGCGCACTACGACCTAGTCTCTGTGTATCAAGCTGCAATAGGCGCTCGCGATACACATATAGCAGCATGACAGCGATGACGTGAGCATGGGAGAAGTAGGGGCTCATTTCGGAGTGCGCACCGCGGCTTGCACTCATACAACTTCTGTTGGTCATTTCTTGGGGATCTTCATGCTATTACCGTTCCTACGATAATCTTACTGCTACGGGGGAAAAGTGCACAGAGCATACGTAGATTCACTGTAAAATAAGAGAGACAATTCCGGAAGTCGATACCTCCAATGAACGCGTTAGATAAGGCTAACAGCGGATGAGTACATTTGCATCTGTGGTTCTTATGGGAGTTTCGAACTCAGTTAATTATAACGTTGACCTTTTATTTGTTATGTGATTAATTAACAGTTAGACGTTCTGATTACTATCTTTCGGGATCAAACAATTAGGATGAGTACTGAAGTGGAGAAGAGCCATAAAAAATAATTTTGATTAGCTTTGCTCATACATGTCAACTGAACATTTGAGTGCTGTTATTATTGGTATAAAAACTGCAATGGGAAAAATCAACCAGTTGAGTTATGGGTGTTCGTTTGGTTCAATTTTTTGTTGAAATCTCGAGGCGTCTGTTTAGAACATACTTTTGATGTTTGATATCCCTCATTGCTTTTCCATCTGATGTTTTCCTGATATTTTTTTTTTTTTTTTTTGCATGTGTAAGACAAATGTTATGAGTGAGCGGTGATCAGTCATTTTTTGTCAACCATTTCAAAGGAATTTGGGGAAGTTTTGTTTTAATCCAAAATATTTGGAAACAGGGATACTTTCATTTGATTATCTTAACCATCTCCAAAAAAGTGATGATGTTGTATAGAGGATGGCAAGACAAATGGAGAGAAGAAGGATGATTCACTTTTAAATCCTGGAATATCATTGTTGAGCAAACGATGTCAACATTTTTAAAATGTTGTCTGTTTTATTAGAAGTATAGGAATGGGCAGTTTCTTTGGTGATAATTCGATTGAGATGGAATATTTGGAATATGTTTATAAATTGTCGCGGTAATTAAAACGTGAAGTAATTGGATCGATAGACCCGGTCTTCCTACTTTCAAATGATAACAGTGATTGTTTCAACTGTTTTAATCCGCATAAAAAGTTTATCATGCAAAAACAATTCACGACATTGTTAGTTAAATTTCGGAGTCGGATTTTTCAATCATCACATCAATATGCATGTTTGTTCATTGTAGTCTTAGCAGGCGTGGGCAACAGTTCTTCAGTCTTCGTTTTTGTGTTTTTATAGATTGTGCGTCGTCAGCATATATATATATATATATATGTTTCAGCATTTTTCGACTTTAGTTTTTTTAGTTTTAGTGATCCATATATTAGAACATATATTTAAATGAATAGTATAAAATGGGGTTAAATTATCACTGAATGAAAAGAAGATGGGTGATTCGTACGACGAAGATGAGGGTCGTTTGATGATAGATGATGCTATTCTGGATAATACTCATTCATCCCAAGCAGGTTGCGCGGAAACATCGACCAAAACGACAACTTATGAAAAAACGATTGAATTAACATCAAGTTCCGAAGATGGTAAATTGTATCAGAAATAATGTTTTTTTTTTTCTTTGTAATATTTCCTAGTAGTTGGATTAGCTGTTTAGGCATGGAAAGTCATCCGGTTGATCCAGAACCGAAGCCGAATTTTTATTGTGAAAGTGGAGCTCCAAAAGCAGTGCAAGGCGTTCATCGAGATGATCGATTGAAAATGACAATCAAACGGACACAGAGCCCAGTCAGCGGTGGTGGACAGTTTTCGTATTCTGGAGAAAAGCGTAGTGACGGTAGGTTTTTTTTTTTTTTTAAAAAATCTTCATTGCTTATAATTTTGCGAACATTTGCATACTTATCCATCTGCATAAGGTATTTATTAGCTTTGTTTCTCGAACCATCTGTATTGGAAATACATATTTTATATACCACCGAATTCGAGCTAAGTGCATCAATGGATTTCAGATGGATTATTATGAATTGTAGAAGATGTATATTTTTATATTTTCAGCATATTAGTGCTTTTTTTTGCCATTTTTTAACTGCTGTAAACTGCTAAAACGCCTGTAGGAGCAGCACGAACTGAAGACATATCTAAGGAGGAGGGAGAAATCGATGATGAGGAAGAAACGGGCAACAGTTTACATACTCAGTCAACCACTGTTCACCAGCCAGCTAACTGGTGCGTTATTTTTTTTTTTTTTTTTTTGCGAGGAATTTATGAATTTCATTCATTCTAAGAATATTTGTTATGGACTTACGGTCTTCTTCCATTAGTAGAATTGGTGCGAGAAGTAACACATTTGAAGACTATTTTTGAAATTTCAATAAATTATCCGGAAAAAGGTCGTTCAAGGAATAAGGGTTTTTATTAAGTTTCCATAATTTATTAAGAAAAACTTAGCTTTGTAGGCAGGTACTGTAGTTTGCTAGAACTGTAAATTTAAAATTTTAAGAGTTATTCATACCTCAGTAAAACTCTTTTTCCCGTAAAAGAGGATTTTTGAAATCACCGGTTTGTTTGATTGTTAAATTTATTAATTTAATAAGGAAATTTGACCCTTTATTGTGCATTGATATATAATGATTTTAGGTCTGGATACCAGAGCAGTGGTTTTGAAGCTGGATCTGGCACGAGCAAATTTCGCCATAGTGGGCAACAACAGTTTGAGCATCATGCCCTGTACAGCACACCACATTCTAGCACTCGTCAGCTAGCAGTCAATATTTCTGTATCTTCAAATGTAACTTCTTCTGGTAATTAATTTATTGATATTTTTTGGTTTTTTAGTTCATTTGTTTTTTCACTATTTGGTGCTAGATTTATCTGATTATTAAATAATGTTAGGATTATGTCAGATAATTATTTATAAATATATTAGGAACATTGCTCTGAAACCGTTGTTCAGTACAATTTCCATACAAAACTGTATTACTTGCATTCTATAGGAAAGTTTTTCTAGGGCCTACAAATGTGACAAGTTCAGTAATGGTTGAAGAACACCATTCTCGTATTCTCTCTTCATCTTACGTGCCGCAAACGCAAACTTCTACCAGTGTATGTCTGGAAATCAACCTTAAGCAGTTTCATGTTTTAATTTTTTTAGTTAGAATACTTTTCATATATATTAGATACGATAGTTCCGATTTTATATGACGGCAGAATTCAAACGAAAAAAAAAAGTGAATTTTATGTATCAAAGAGAAGTTGCGGTGCAGTTTGTAACTAACGTTACAGATTATCAGATTTGAGAAATTACGAAGATTCATGTGGTACATTGTGTTAGTAATCATTTAATAAAAAATATCAGGGTTTTTAGCTACTGCACTTTCTATGTTTCAAAAAGTTCCGAAATGTCGTTTCAAACTGCATTTTATTTTTCTCGTGGTTTTATTTCCATGCTCATTATTTATGCAAAGTTTTTATTGCGTTATTACCATATTTTTACAATTACTTAATGATAAGATAGTGATAAATCTAATTAAAGGAGGGACAATTTGGTGAAGATTCTGCAGATTTGGATCGACAGAATACTGCTGTAGTTGGTGTTAGCTTAAAAAATACAGGGTTAGTGTTTCATATTCTTTAAGTTTTTACAAATTTTTTTTGCAAAAATTTCTTACAAATTTTTAAAATTTTATGTTTATGTCATGCTATGACTTATTGTCAGTGATGTTATTAGTCTGATTAAAGATGGTGTAATTTCAAATTGTGATCGTCCGTTTGGTGTCACGCAGAGAACAGTGCTGTAAAATATAGTAAATAAAATAAAATCATTTCTCTTATATCCATACACCTGAAATTTATAACAATAGGTGGACTTTATTAAGATGTTAAGTAATAAAAAGACGAGTGAAAAGTATCGTTTCAACTTTCTCTTGTATCATTTTTCGTTCTTTTATATGGTGATTGTCTTTTTTCTTTTTCTTGTTTTTTTTTTTTTTGTATTCGCTAAGTTATTTCCTAACTTAATATTTGGTTCTTGGTCGCATTTCTTCTATCAGAAAGATAGTCACAAACTTTTATGTTAAAACGAATAATTAAAAAAGGTAAATTTTTCTAAAACATTTACGAATTTTTCATCCTAATAATCATATAATAAGTCTAATAATTTCATTGTAGACTGCAATAATCAAAACTGATGTGTTATAATATTTGATGTGATAGCTTGATGTGTTGTAGAACGCACAATTTACCATGCAACAAAATACGAAAAAAGAAACGACGTGTCAGTGAGCAAGATGACCATGGAACTTGCCAGGCTTCTCCCAGTAACGCTGCGCCTTCCTTTAATATGACAGCTTCACAGTTAGGCATAACTTCTGCAAGTGTTAGTTCAGCGAAAAAGAAGAAACCGGTAAGTTTAGAAAGTATGGAACACTGCTCATGTATTCGAGTTTAATGTAGATTAAAATATTTCGAGAATTTATGAGATACAAAAAAATTTGCGATTTATTATAATGATGGACTTCATCTTATGCAAATGATTTGAAACATTGTTTACAATTAGTGAGACATAACTATCGTATTTCTTTCAGAGTTTGAAGTCAGTATATTTCATTAAGATCTGTTTTTAATAATAAAAATCATCATTTGATTTGACAAAGAGTAATTTGTTATACATAAATCTCATATCACAGTACACTATATTGTAATGTCACTTTTAGGTACTAAAAAATTTTGTACTCATTTAACGAGCAAGTACTTAACGAATTTTCCGTACACAGTCTAAAAAACAATGCTTTTGTGGCCTGGAAATAAATCAGCCACACTTATATTTCAGCAGTTCAAAAAGTTCTTTCTTTTTAATCAATCTAACTTTAGCTACAGAATATGCGGGACTGCTCGACATGTGTTACTGTGAAGTCCGTGCAAACTAATGATGGAGATATAGATGTAAAAGTTGGCTCAACTCATTGCCTCAATATTTCTGTACTTGCAAAAGCATCGAGTAAGATCATAACATTTGCTTCACTTGTTTTCTTCGCAGATTCCTGGCACATTTATTTAAATTACTTTTAATATCAATAGCCTCACTGACTTAAGCTTATGGGTGACGTTGTACTACGCAATATCATGTTATACTATATTTCTGCTTTTGTGAATTGTGCATTTACTCATAACTCAGTTCAAGCTACTTCGCTGTCAAATTTTACAGATTATTTATATTATGTTACGAATTGGAATGGGCATGATTTGTATGGTATTTTGGGTGACGGTTTGCCGCCTTTACAACATACTTACATGAATAAAAAGTTAGTACTTCATTTTCAGTTATAATCCAGTGATGTTATTTGTGGCCTCATTGGCAGATTATGTGATTGGTTTTAGATGTGGTGGTACGTCTGGTGCATCAAACAGTGCATCTGGGTTCGACTTTTTTAGTTCGCATGATAAAACAAATGGTAGCAGTCCATCAAAGCAACGACTTAATGCTAAAAGGTTTATTTAATATTTCTTGTATCCATTTAAAACATAGTCATCATGAACACACTTTCTTCGATTGTCTCAGTTTTTTTTTTTTTCGTTTTATCTAATTCATATGTAAATATATTAATTTTATTTTCAGTTTATTTTCTTTTAGTTATCGGTCAAATTCTATATATGATGAGGTTAATCTTCTCATTTTACTGTTTTATAAGTTTCTGCAAACTAAGAAATTGTTTGAAACTAAGATATTATTTTAAAGATCAAACAGAAGCTCCTCAGTTTGTCCACCGAATGGATTTCCTGAAATTAAGCCAACTGGAAGAAAAGGTTTGATCGGAAATGTTGGTCGACCATCAAGCGCCTCAACCAGCGATGTACAATGTAAGTAGAGATCACCAAGTTATTTTATTGAAGTTACTGTAACCAACTCTGGAAAATATGTTTGTTCTTATTAATGTCTGATTAACATACGGGGGCATTTCATAAAAAAATTAGGGATGCAAAGAATGAAACGGAACTCTGTTAGATATAACTGGATGTTGAACAACGATTTTGCGTTTGCAGAAGTCGTAAGAACTTGAGCTGAGCCTGAATTCATAATCGTACTATTTGCTATATTATTAGCTAACACCGCGCTCAAGTGTTTGCTAAAAAAAATTTTGAATATATTTCTTTGTTCTCTTAAACTGGTAAGTTTTAATAAAGTAGAAACATTGCAGCTATCAGTGGAGATCTGCAGGATGATGAAAGGTCACAGTCACCAGTCTCATGGTTCACATCTGGAAGTAATGATCCAATATCTGCGCTCGGTTCATTTGGAACTGTTGCAGACAATGTTTCATCTCAATTACGCGAATGCGTTTTATCTACAATGTATTCTTGTCCAGTAGCAGGTTGTGAACATCGCTATGACACTCAGTCACAGTTGGCAGTCCATTACCACACGCACTTTGTGAAAGAAGACGGAGGAAGAGCGGTAGAAAATAATTTTAACATAAATTTATCGTTTATCATTTTTAAGAATAAATTAATATTTAAACTTGGAGATTTTTCAGAGCGTAATATTTTGTAGATCTACGTTGAAACTATGGGTACTCAAACAAATTTAGTCGTGATGAAAGATGTTGCTGTCGATACGGATAGAGAACTAACTCATGTTTATGCAGTTTCCTCAGGAGAATTTATTCCGGAAGGAACGAAACTCAAAACTGGTGAAAACAGTATTCATTTGATTTCACCGAAACCGAAATTATCGAAAACGCTCACAAACCATGAAGAACAAAGTATCAGTGAGCTCTTCAAGGTAGGACAATTCAAGCTACCCTTATTTAAGATTTAAAATTTTATGAGTCAGGTAATACACTGCAGTACCTTTATTTATCGCTAGAATTTTTATAGGTTGTAACACAGAAGGCAGAGACGAGCGTTGGAACTGCAAAAGCTGACGGGAAAAAAGCTTTCGTTGTTAAAAGTCCAAAAAATATTGTCACCAGCAAAGGTAGGAAATGGTGTTATCACTAAAATTTGTTTATGTTTATTGTTGATTAAATTCATAGATTGTAAATTTGACACATTGTTTTCATTATCACCATCTACATTCGTTATTTATAATGAATATATTAATATGATATATTTTTTAGTATACGGTGCCTTACTCACTAGTAACAGTGCAGTAAATCAGAATGAAATACCTACTGCACTTGATGCGATTCGTAAAATGGTAACAAATAACAGTGGTGAAGTTCATTCACGTGAGCAGCAATCAGCAACCATTATTTCCGGCTTGCCATCATCTAGGTATAGATCTCTCTCTCTCTCTTTGCTTCATAAAACTTTTTAGACTTAGAAATCAAAGAAATGAATTTTGAAAAGTTTTCAGTGTCCCTTCTACACCTCACGGTGGCGCTACTTCACCTGCATTTTCAGACATTTCGGATGATGCTCCCACTTTGGAAAAAGAGGTTCTTTTTGAAATATTTGGACAAGTAAAGAAAATTACGTTGTTATTATTCATTTTCTCTATGTTTTAAATGCACTACGATAATACTGAAATAAAGTCGTATTGTAGGTGGCCGACAAATCAGAGGAGCGATCTTTGGATCGAATTAAAGAATTAGTAAACAGCACCGAAAAAGCTCCACTAGAACAGTTAAGGTTTGTTATCGAAATATTTTTGTTCTGTTTATTTTTTATGGAGTTCGTTTTTGTTTACCTTAAATCAATCTCGGTCCGTCAGTTAATGAAAAGATTAAATTGGTTGTTGGTGAACCTACTGTTTTTCTGGAGCAATTATTTGAATTAAAGTTTGTCGATCGAGGACGAAAAAATGATCACTGTACCGAAAAGCGGAGTTGGTTCATCAACTTTGCTCTGTCCTGTAAGCTCATCAACTGCTATTGCTACTACATTGTCTGTTCCAAGAGTATCAGCAGAAATAAATCAGGGCTTCTCTTCTGATGGTTTGTTCTGTTTTGATAGTTTTTTGAAAAATATGCAATATGCAGTTTCAGATTTTGAAGTTTCGAAATCTTGAGCTTTTTATTGGGCTTAATCTGATCTGAAATTTCCAGGTTCAAAAAAGAACGAAATAAAAACACAGTCACATGCAAACACTCTCGGTTCTTTTGCATCATCCTTCATGGATCCATCGGGTTACTTTTTCCAACAACTGTTTTATTGATGCATTCCTCTATTCATATTACTAATATCCATTTTAAAGAAATTGTTGCTAGTCTGAGCGGTATGAGAATTAAACTACCAAAATACTAATCTTTTAATTGTAGCATTTTTGTTGTTACTGTTTAAATAATATGACTGAAATATTATCATTTAATTTCAGGATTGCGCCATGCTTCTACTATTCCGATTTCTATACCGAATTTGTCAAACGCCCCTTCTGCTTCAGTTTTTGCACAGCCCTATTTCATACCATTTATCAGTCCGTCAGTGAGCAATGCCACAACTTCAGGAATATCGCAGCCTCATACTTCGAAACATAAAATTCATGATTTGAAGGCCAATCCACCAAGTTTGATTCCTTTTCAGTCTAAAGAAAGGTTAGTGATTAAGTAGTATAGTCTTAAAATAAGAATTTCATATTTTCTCATATTCTCAGAGAGCATTGTTTTTTTTTTTTCTAAAAGATTTGTATTCCAGCAACAGCCTTGGTCAGTCATCAGTTGTTGCTTCGTCCAATTCTCAACCTCTATCACAAGGAGGGACAGGTTTGTGCTCTAAATAAACTAGATTTGACAGCCTGAAATTAGGTTTTATGAGATTATGTTGTTCTAAAGATAAATTATTGCAAAGGTAATTTCTTATCGAAAAAACTTCGTAATTGCCTTGCCGTAGGCCAGTTTTACTCAAAACTCTGATCAATTTTCTCAAAAACAGTTGAGATATTTATCTTTTTTCATTTTTATTTACTGACAGTGTTCTGATTATCTAAAAATTTGTATCGTTTTGAGGTATATTTCTTCTTGAAGGTAGTGTTTCAACAACGAAGCAAACTGTGCACCAGCAACTAGGAAGTCAAAGTGCTGCTTCGGGAAATTCTTTTGCAGCTATTCAGTCTCATGCTTCGACCAATAGTGATCGCAGCGCAAATGCTCAAAATGTACAATCTTCTGCATTGAACTTCATGCAGCATCAACAACAGCAACAGGTGAAGTAACAATATCATATCTTTATTAAGGCATTCTTAACCAACCTATCTACGCATTCTATCCATGTTTTAGGCCTATTTTGCGCAGCTGCAACAACATCAACAAATGCAGTATATGCAACGATTTGGCACAGCTTTTCCAATGACCGGACCACCGAATTCCATGAATGCTGTTGCACAACAAGCTTATGAGCAACAAATGGCTGCTTTGCATGCATCATTTGGTAAGTAGTAGGATAACACTTTTTGCAAATTTACTTGCCAGAAGACCCTTTTAAATTGTTTTTTGTCAGTTTTTTTTTTTTCAAATTTTACGAAATAATTTTTGGAATCATTGGGAAATTATATTTTTGATCGATTGCATTGTTAGTAATTAGTTCTCCTTAGCAGTAATACATAATTTCCCAATAATTCAGTAACCCATATATGGTATGACAGTGCACTTGAATTAGATCGTATGCACATTAAACTAATCGATATAGGCTATCCTCTTTAAAAAAGTATTGTTTAACCATTTATCATTAACACTGAAATATTTTCTGCTCTCAGTTTTTATTTTGTTAATTTTTCCACTCTTTTATGAACACTTGTTAATTTTAAAATCTTTCAATGTGTGTTGTGAGTCTAGAGAAACAGATATATACACCATGTTTTATATATGTATTGTAGAATATTTTCAGGCTATCCAGGAATTTTTATGCCGCCGTCATTTCCACCCAAGTAAAAAGGAATGAACGGGAAGATTACTGTCCAACGAATGTGTTAGGTTCTAATTAAATTGTTCTAGTTTGCTCAGAATGCAAGATATTGCTATGTTTATATTGCAATATAAACCGCACTGCAGGTTTTTAAAAGTTGAAAGTTTCCAGACACAGAAATCGGGTCAAAAATGAGTGCAGCAATGTTTTGCATATCTAAACCCAGTTGGTAGAATCTCTAAAAGTTTGTTTTTCTTGAGATGTTTACATTCATTTTGTTTCAGTCATTCTTGGCTCTTACTGTATCATCGCTCAGGTTTTCTGTTCGGATATTCATGAAAGAAAATATTATTTTTTAAAACTCATAAAATGGTTATAACGTATATTTGTTTTATTAGGATATATTTGAGAATTTGTTAGAATTTTGAAATGCTGTTTTGATATCCCTTAGTTCCTAAATTTTTATTAGTTCCATGAATTTGTAACAAAACTGATGCCAGAAAAAGATATATTATTGTGAGATGTCCAATGGCAGTCACGTCTGGTATGCGACTGCATCAAAATACGACCGACGGCTGTTGTGGTTGTAATGACTGGATCAAACTCCCCACTACTTCAGAACTGTGCATTTGTTAATGATATATTGTTATAAACAGCTAATTCTGCCCTTTACTTCGGTTCCATGTTTTCTTTTTATTGTCGCTTTATTTTTATTAGGCATCATTTTAAAAGTATTTTTATCACCATTTTCTCTTTTCGCAGTCTTTTCATTATTATATCTTTTCATATATGTTTTGTTTGTATTGTGTCATGCTTGCTGTACATTTGACTTTTCGGAACGGTTCAAACAGGAAATTATGCAACTTGAATTTGTTACACATTCCGCTCACCTACATCAACGGGTTAATTAGTGCTTCAGTTATATTTTAAGAAGGTAATTGTTGAGCTCTGAAAAGGATGTAATTAAGTGACGCGATATTTATAACGTCCATATTTTACTGCTTTGCTGCTCAGAAGCTGGTTTTATCTCCTCCGGCAATAAATTTTTATTGGACTTTACTATAAACTATGGCAAGAAATAAATTGAAACTGTGAGTATTTTCTTACCTATTGTGTAACAAATAACAGCAAAATTCGAGTACTTAGTTCATTGTTGATCATTTTGTATCACTCGTATAATACCCTCCCCATCTCTATATCGTAATTTCAGTTGTAATTATATTCACTTCACAACTTTTAGTTTTGTTTTATGAAATGCTTCAACGTATTATTTTTTCAGCGATAAGTTTATTCTTTTTGGTTACTGTTATTACTGCTCTAGTGTTAATGCTATTCATTAAAGTCGTTCCGTCATATCTTAGCAAAAGACTGATAGATTGGTTATGTTCGTTTGAATTTATTGACGCATTGTTTTTTCCTTTACTGCTGTATATTGGATAAGCCGGAATCACTGCTCAAGATATATTCTTTAAAAATATTTAAGGTTTTCCATGAAGGAATGAGGAGAGAGGGATACATTTCTTGACAGTCTTCGTTAAATGGAGTCATTTCAATAAAAATATCTTTCCTTCGCAGTCATGAATATCATAAGATATAAGGGATGAATGATTCCATTGGAAAGGAGATTTGAGAGTTTATATTTAAAAGTTAAGATTTCCGTATCATTTTTCATAACACTTGTAATGTCTTGTAATGAAGTAAATTTACTTTCAGGTGAATTCATTATATTAGATCTGATGATAAGAGATTGTAACACTTGTTTAATTTAACAAAATATGTTGTGGAGAATTGAAAAAATCTCGAATTAGGTGTGTTGCGATGACTGGTTGCTCATCTAATGAGCCTGTCGCTCGATAGGGATGGATGCCACCACTTCGAATCTTCTCGAATCATTCAAAAGACCGTATTAATGATGTTGGTTCGAAATAAAAGTGGCTTTGAAATTAAATGAGAGGTTGAGTCGTGTAGGAGTTCGTATTCAGGTTTTGTGTCACGTGACTCATTCTCAATCAGTCATTTCTCAATGCGATATGGCAAGCGCAAAATTATGTCATCTCCTTTCCAAAGCCGCTTAGTTATGTGTCGTAGAAGAAACTGCTGAGATCGGAAGTCTATTAAGTGGATGTTTGTGGCTTGGTTGGGCCATTTCAAACATTTCATTTAGCTTCGTTAATCCTTAATAGCGGTAAGTGAATATGCAAAAGGAAAGTTCCTTTATTTTCAGACAGATTAGTAACTGCAATTGCAAAGTAAGTAATGAAAGGTTCAAATTTTGTTCTTTATGATTGGATAGTAAGTAGATTTTCGTCAGTGCTTACTTTCATGTGAAGTGAAGAAAGTTTCCGAAAATTAAAAACTTGAGATATCTGATCATCTTTGAATTTCCGGCTTTTTCTCTTGATTAATAAAAACATTTTTGGTAAATGCTTTCGTATTTGTGCGTCTCGCTATGGCCCAAGAATTCCACCTCTCACTCAGGACACGTACTTAACCATTATTCCTAACAGTGATCGCTTATCTCGAATGAGAAGACCTATCTCAAAGTCCATACATGAGTGTTAGGCGTTAGCCAGAACTGAGCATTCTAATTTCTTTATGGTAAGCTTACTAGCCATCACATGCAACTGATCAACGTAATGAAAAGAAAATTGGTAAAATTAGCCCAGAAGTTCAGTTTTCATGTGATGGATAGACCATCTTCTTGAGCAATTATGAGTTGTTTAATCACAAGGAAAACAGTATATATTTTAAGAGTTGGAATTACCATCAGTAAAGAAGCAGATAAATCTGATATATTAACTATTCCTGACTAAGCTATTTATGCTACAATCTAAATCACATTTCCCTGTACTTTTGAGAATAAAGCTAGCACAAACTCTTTCCACTATTTGATTTCGTTTATTTACGTTTAGTACTACTTATATGTACTTGATTAAAAGAGATGTTTTCGAAATTTAATAATAAGGCAGTCTTGTTTAGTATGGACCAATTTGTTCCTAAAGACACAACGTGTCAAGAACGGCCTTACATTGACGTAACTCGAAGAAGTAATGAATGAATAGCCGATCACGCATGCGTTTTGGTATATCGATTGGTATATCGATTAATAACGAAATTGTCAAACAGCACGAATAAAGTATATTAAAACGGCTAGACGGCAACGCCCTCGTTATTAAGAAGATACTTTGCTATTTTAGTTATGCCTTCACTACTCACACCCATAACCATGGTAAAAATTAAAACCACCCTCCCAGACTCATCTTTTATGGACCACTTGCTTGTCATTTCATAACACGCACCTTCTTCAAATTCATAATCTTTTTTTGTCTTCTTAACGAGCGCGTTGCAAAGCTGTGTTTTTCCCTTTGTATTCCATTAATCCTTCGGCATTGCTAACATTTCTTTCATACCCAAGCAACTCCCATTTAATTGTCCTTTATCGGAATTGTCTCTTACCTCAACGGTGGCACCCATTTCCATATTCTTGTATCTCTCAAAGATACTTTATATAGTTCTTATTTTTATCTGAAATTTCTTAAGTTACCACAACTTGATATCCACCGTTACATATCACACTATCGTCTTAGCATCAGTGGATTCAACAATCAATTTAATTGAAATATTATCTTTGTTGACACTCTACATAGTCTTTGTGGACAAAAATGCCATGGTACAGGTAGACAAACACCGTCTCTCTTATTTGATTATGACACATTCTTTCTCCTCTCACATTTCCAACTATTTCTAGGCCTACGCTTTCATCTATTTTACACATATATATTGACATTGACATATGAGATGCTTTGCAATGCTTGCAAAAAATGGATCAGTTTGGAGAAGAGCAGTTAATCAATTTTCTTGTTTATGTTTTACAAAGTGCATCATTTGTCACTTCAACACTAACCAGTCAGTGAACATAATTTCACTTCATCAATTCAATCTGCTCTGTTTTAATCTACAGGATGAAAAGATAGATCTGATTCATTTTGTTATTAATTTGATGGAAACGATGTATTTGATGGAATGCTTGTTTTCTATATCTTTTAGTTTTAAATTTTGCAATATTTATAGTTGTTATCATGGTTAATTGACGATAATCTTTTTAATATTGCCAATTCGAAGTATTTTTTGAAAATTCGAAAAAGAATTAATTTGACAGCAGATAATTTTTGAGTCCAAAACTTTCATACATTCAAAATTGAAAGATTGATAATAATTCGTAGTCGTATTTATGACGGATGATTCTGCATAATGCATGGAAATGTTAGAAGCGTGGTTGATTATTGCGCCATCTATGGGAATAATGATCTGAAAATGGCATCTTATACCGCGATGGATATACTCGTTTAAATTCACATTAAACAAGAATAATTATATTCCTACCAAATTCAAACGCAGTATTTACTAAATAATCAATCCCTTACCATTTATTCACATTTTTCTCATTAATAAAGGTGGAAGAAATTTCAGGACAGATTATATAAGATGATTCCCTTGCATCTATTGAAGAAACTAAAGAGAAGAGCTCTGGAGATTACTATTTGTGTTGTGTGTGTTGAGAAACTAAATTATAAAGGCATATTAAACATTGAAGGATCCTTGAGCATCATTTATGAGTTGAAGAGAGTGGCATCTCTTGCTCCTGAGAAAATACTTCCCATTTGAATATTCCGAAATTTGAACCATTCAAACTTGAATCTGTGTTACCAAGCATTTTCTGAAATGTTCTGTTTTAGTACAGCTTGATCATAACATACCTAATATGAAATTATACATACACCAATACACACACCTAAAATAAATATAATTGTGATATGAAATTGAAACATTCAAATTTCTGGGATATGAGTTATTTATGATTATGACAACTGCGACATGGTGAATCTCAGCATAGGGCAGAAATACTTCATCAAATCTGGGCAGGCTCCACCTGTTTGCGAACGTTTTCTGAATTATGTTTGATAGTGAGAGGAAGCACAGTTTTAAATGCCATTACTGATGATTTTATTGAAACTGGTTCATTACCTCAAATTTATTTCTTTGTATTACAGATATAACTGTTCCCTAAATTGGTCATTCGCACCGTGAAATTAAACTAACTTCTTAAAAAGTTATCTTCCTGAAAGCTGTTTTAATGCATTTTGTTCTAATGCGCTTTTTTTCTTTTTTTTTTTTTTTTTTTTTTCAGTGGACTGTTTATTTTAACTAAGATTGAAAAAAATCTTCAAGTTAAAATTATAAGTTTTGATGTTCTGCATAGTTTTTGGTTTTCGCCATTGATAAGTACTAGATACTGTCTCTCACTTCCAATCATTTAAATGTCTAAACTTTATAAGTGGGATTAAATTTTAAAAATGAACTGACTTTAATGGAACGAAGTTGGTAATTACAGTATTAATCTTATACTGAGTAGGATCATCTGTTTTGAAAAATTCCAAAGTGTTTTACGACTTAAGCAAAAACTCTTTGACTGAACAATTAGTGGCTCGGTGATGCTGATCAAAATTATACGTAGCTTGATATTTTTATGCCAGCTTTAATAGCTTCTGATGTTTTTCGCCACTCAAATTTGAATATTTGAGAAAATAAATCCAAATATATAACATTTATTTCTCAAATCGACTGCTATTATTGTTGCGTAGGGTCCAATATCGGGTTAGCTATAAATATTATCACTTTATTAATTAATTAATTAATCATTTAAAAAACTATCTAGTTGCAGCTGATAATGCCTATCGTAATATGAAACGAACAAGGAACTGTCAGTCAATTATTATTTCTGGGGAATCTGGCACAGGCAAAACAGAGTCACAGAAGTACATCTTACGATACCTTTGCGATAACAGGTCCTATTAAACAACTTTAATTAGAAAGTAATATTTGAAGTTAGTATTTCCACTTTTCTTGTTATATTTTTGAACAAAATTATAATTGAGTTGTTATGTTATAATTACGAAATCATATTTTAAGTGATAATATTTATAGCTAACCCGATATTGGACCCTACGCAACAATAATAGCAGTCGATTTGATGAAATTCGTCGAAATACATTTCAATCAAAAAGTAGTTCTCTTAATATATATATATATATATATTTCAGACTCTGTCTGGACTGCCTTTTTTTAGATATTTGGTCATTTGGTATTTCATTTGTTTCATCAATCGTAATTCAACCAAGAAATCTTCTAAAATATGATTAAAATTTTTTGCCAAATTTAAAGTTATTTGATATTGAGACATATTACTGAATGACATTGTTTTCTTCAGAACAGTGAACATTTCATTTTTCGAAAATATCCATTTTTTGAAAGTAACTTGGCAGTGTACAGGAGTTCTGAAAATCGAATTCGAATGTTTGTCACTTTAGAATTCAGTTTGTGGTGGTTTTATTTCACATTACTTGTTGGAATATGTCACCAACTAAAGGGTGAACGCAATTACCACATTTTTTATCAGTTACTAGCGGGTGCTAATGAACAGATGGCTAGAAGTCTCCAGCTTAGATCTCCTAGTAGTTTTAAAGTATGTCAATAAGAGTTTATAAAACTGCTATCAAAGTGATTTATATAAATATAATTAAGAACTTGAATTATTGTAATATATAGCTATTCACTTCGAAATCCTAGAAACTAATTCTTTTTTTATTTAAAGACAGATTGGAAGTTTTTTGAAGATTTGTTCTTTAATTTAAGTTCTTTCCTAGTATCTCAAACATGGATGTACCCAGTTCTTCAAAGAAGGTGGGTACATGGATGCACCCCCTTCTTTAGTTTCACTGCATAATTTTTTAATGTTATTTTCAATCATCACGAATTTATCATTGTGATAAAGAATTGGACTTTGGGATACATCGATGATATCCACTGCCCACCAACAATATATATAATTCTTTAAAAAAAGAAGAAAAAGATAATTCTGCTGGCTTTAACAAATGTGCTTTTAAATCCATTTGAAATGTATCATTTTTATTTCTAGTGTAGGAGCATAAAGAAAAAATTCGTCCGAATTAGCATATTTTGAAATTATTTTGAGAAAGGCATTTAAAAATATCTAAAATTTGCCGCTACAATAAAATTATTATTGTTGACAATATTCATTTAAAATTTTATACCTTCTGTCCACACATTATAAATTTTGGGTTAGAAGCAGCAGTTACTGAAAATTATTAGCTAATTATTAAATTAAAAAAAAAAAAAAATTAACTTTTGTACACAGTCAACTTGAGAACTATCAAAAGTTTCGAAGTAAAATAGTTCAATAACATTAAACTAATATTGTTAACTTTTTCTTTATGAGAAAATTAACAATCCATTCATTAAAATCGATTTTGGCTTATTCTTCACGTGGTGCATGCTCCGAAAGTGTCTTACCCGTTTATATATTTTCTCATACACTGCTTGTCGTTCCATCAGTTCATGTTGGAATTTCCGATGCTTCTCCAGGTCAGTTCGCAACCGATCACCAGATGCCGTCTAAACATGATATTAATCATTATCAAAAAATCTGGAGCCTGATTAATAACAAGAAAAAATGCTTCTTCGCACAATCCAAATCTGATTTACAAATCTGATTTCACATAGTTACTGACTAATAATCCATGAAATTGTAACTGAAATGCCTTATGCATGTTATTTTCTGCATATAATGTGACATTCACTGAAATATGCTGTAAAAGCAAATTTAGAATTTCTTTCTTACTGCAAAGTAGCTTCCTTTCTTGATGGTTCAGATTGCTGACTTCTTGGTCTTCGATCCTGGTAGAATCTCGAATTTGTACTGGTTCCGTTCTGTGTACGTGTACTGTGGGAGTCTTCGTGAAACACTTTATTATTCAAACCTCAAACTTGGGTAATTAAACCTTAGATTAACAGTAAATATTACACAACATTACAATAATGAATTGATAGATAACACAGAACAAGAAAGCTAGACACCTCGCAACCGAGTCATACCAAACAAGGAACTATAATCAGTGGCTTTGTAAGGAAAAAAATTGGGAGGGATTTTATGGGTGTTAAGATTACGAAATGGATTAAAATCATTTAAAACAATAGCCTTTGTTCATTAGGTTATAGCTTTGCCATTGTGGCGACAAATGTTATGTGCATCTAGGCACTCTCAAATATACGAGAAATACGTATAAACTGTTTGTATGAATACTTAAAAAGCATTTACATGAAGAGAATATACCTGTAATATGATTTTCGAATTTTTCAGTGGTTTCCCGGAAAAATTTTTTTTTTCAATGGAAACTGCAAAAAACTTAAGAGTAAGATGTCCTGAATAATTGAATCACTGCCCGACAAATAAGTGATTGTAAATATCACTGGTCCTAAAGCGATATCACCCACTGGGATGACGAATTTCACTTGTCCGTGGTCACTGTTAATGTTATCTACCAAACGACATTTTTTATCTACCACATTTGAAGTTTTACCAGCAAATATCGGTAATACAAATAACTTCAATGCTGGATGAGAAAAAAACGGCTTAAATCTCATCATAAAATAAAACATAAAAAGAAAAAACAAATTAGAATTTTTGAGGAGAGAGAGAGAGAATTTTAAGGAAAACTAAAAAAATTTTGAATGAAATTTTAAAAAATAAAAATAAGGAAAAAAAAGAATACTCGAAATGTGTTGGTGTTGATACTTCTTCCGATTTTACTTGTACTGTTTTCCGTAATAGCTTTTTGTTGATAACTGAAACAAAAAAAAAAAAAAAAAAAAAACGGAAATTATATCATAAATATCTGTAACTGTAGTAAATTGTGGGATTTACTACAATTAAATCATGTAATAATTATAGCAACAATTATATAACAACGAGTCATAACAATATTGGCTTTTAACGAAGATAATTGATGATATTAAGGATAGTGAATGTTATTATTATTATGTAAACCATATAAATTCTGATAACAATATGTTTTACCCATTATGGTACATCCATGTTTGAGATACAAAGAATTAAAAATTATGGTACGCACAGAAGTAATGGAAGAATGGATACCTAAAATGCGCTCTAAATATATGTGAAATTCAAACACTAATTACCATAGTGAGCACTTTGATATTGGGTTCATTGCTGAATTTGGTGGACACTTGAAGGCTTCTGCAAAACCATTTTTAAAAAATTATGGTACGGTTCAAAGTATTCACGTTGGCATCGAAAGTAATCATTCCAGGTTGAATCCCTGAAGTTATCACCTGTTCAGATAAGAACCTTGCACAGAATTTGAGAAATTGTCGATACAGATAACGTCGTGCCCAGCTTCCAGGCTCACTACAGCAAATAAAATAGTGAAAGACGAGCGAAAGGTAAGACATTCTTTAAAATGAATCAGAATCTTCTGTAAATGTTAAATACAGAAGAACAGTGATTGTTTTTGTCTTAATGTTTTGAAAAAAACGATTTCTCTTTTACTTTTAATATCAGGTGTTATTTTTACAACCATGCATGCATGAAATAAATGAGTAAAGAAGTGACATGAAGCTGTATGATTTATTAAAATATGTTCGATAAGAAGCGCAATGACGAATTAACTTCTATCCACCAAACTTTCTTATCACATTCAAAATTTTTTACATGTTGTGTTTCTTGATTAGTCGAAATATTTTCTGTTTTGGAACATTATTCATTATTAATTACTTCATTTCATTTTTCATCAACTTAATACATTTTCTGTGCTCTGTAATTTGTCCCTATTTAGGATGCAGATTTACACGATGAGCTATTGGATGACTATGTTGACTTTCAAAGGTTGCTTAAAGGACTTTCTAGCATTGATTTTGATATACAAGAACTGAATACTATTATCTTGCACCTCGGTAACATACACTTCATTGAGAATGTCGAAGATACAAAAGGTACAACTGTGAGCGTATTTCCTTGGGCTAAGATCTTGCTTTGCTCCAGATTGGAAGATTATAAACATACAAATTTCGACAATTATAAGAAATCTTGGAATTCAAGTCATATCACCGGATTATCCTAATGCATAAATCAGTACTTTTCTAAAAGCAGTACCTTTACCATTTTTTTGACAGGTGGATGTATGATTAAACCGTCTAGCAAAGTAAGTTTCACAGCATCACTTGAAAATGCAGCTTCGCTATTCGGTTTAGAAGATTATGAACTGAAAAATGGCCTCACAACACGAGTCGTGCAACTTGCGAAAGGAGGAGTCAGAGGTACCTTCATCAGGTTGGTTACTTATACCTTTCGTATGTAACAGAAATAGATGTAAACGCTAGATAAATCCTGACTATTAATAACTATATTAAATATATTCTAGGATACCGTTGAAATCACATGATGCATCAGCAGCTCGCTATGCGCTTGCAAAAGAAAAAAAAAGAAAGAAAAGTAGAATTTGAAATTTTATCACTTTTATTTTACATTTGCAAAATTTTTACTTACAAATAATCAACAAATAGCTATTGCTTATTTGTAATGAAAATTAAAAACGAAAAAAAAAATTGATTTTTGAAAATTTGTCGTTTTTTTTGAGTTCCAGTTTATATTGCAGTACTTTGTTAATTAAATGCATTTGTAGACAATTACTGTTTTAATAATTTGCTGAAAAAATACAAAAATAAATTTAAAATTTTTCATCCTGAAATTAAAATATTAATTGAATATCGCTGATTTTATTATCGTACTGAATTTAGCTTATGCAAATGTATTATGCTTTGCATTTGTTAATATTTGTGATATAGCGAAAATTCAGATAATATTTGCTTGTAGTGATAACGATCGATGAATATTAGCTGTAATTAATTAATAATTTTAGCACTTATCTTAATTGAATACAAAAATGTTAGTAACAATGATATGATAGTGACAACAAATATGTAATAAATGATAATTATTAAGAACAATGATATTAGTTCAAAAATAAGCATTAATGACAAATAAGATAGTGATAATAATTATTTATAAAAATAATGATTATGAAAATCACTGCAGCATTCAGTAATAGTAATAATACTATTAATGATAAAATATTGATAATAATAGTCCAGTGATAATAACAATAATATAATGTTTCGGGATCATATGTAAATTCTCATAGTCAAAAAATGATAAATGATAAGAGGAATGGCAGCAATTATCATAATTAAAAAAAATTTGAATAAAAATTAACTAAATTATCCAAAACAATCAGTTAATTATATAATTAATAAAATAATAATTGTTAAGTAAACTTAAAGAGAAATGTAAACAATTTAAAGTAATATTTCAAAAGCTGTTAATTAACCGATAATATCTTTTGGAATTGAACATACAAAAACATTTTTAATAAGCTTTCGCTTTTTTTTTTAAAAATGATAAGAAGTTGTTATTTCCTTCATTTTTTTTTCCTTTACTCTCTTCGTTTTTTTTTTCTTTTTTTCTTTTTTGTTTTGTCTTGTTAAAAATAAAATTTAAATGAAATGATTAATCATTTATTAGATGTTAATTTGGTATTTGATATCATTTATAATGATTTAATCATGTATGATAATTTATAATGATCTTAATTTATTGATTTTTATAACAATTGTCACGTAACAAACAATTTTAAATGCAGCAATTTGAAGGTAATAATTTTTTAAAAATTTTCCCAAATAAGACCACATGAAAAAAATATCAATTTAAATGCATATTCCTTGTTTAATTTTAAAATAAAAAAAAAAAAAAAAAAGAAAATAATAAAATGATTAGATTGGAAAAGATACAAGAAATTAAATTAAATAATGCTTAATTAATTTAAACATTTTCTAAACAGTAAATAAATTTAATAATTAAATTATTGCAAAAAAAAGCTATTTGTTATTAATTTGTCCTTTTCAAAGAGATTTATACTTTTGAGAAAAAAAAAAATTTTTTCTTTTTTCTTAGTTTTATTTTTGAGCAGCAAAATAAACGATCTAAGTGAAAACAAACAACAAAATTAATAAAAAAAAAGAAAAATATTATTTTTAATTCATTTTACTTTAATCATACTTTTTGAAAATTTTTTTGTTTATTAAAAAATACGAACTTAAAATAATATTAAAACAAAAAATTTGATGCTAAAAGCAAAAATTTTAATGCCAGTTTTGACACATAATTTATTTTACATTTAGTCAAATTTTATATACTTATTATTATTGAATAACGAATTATGATTTAGAATTGAATTAACAAATTAAATGAATTAAATTAACAAAATTAGCATTACAATTTACAATTTTACAAAATATAAAATTCTACAGCAAAAATATTTGCAATTGAATTACTAAATGAAGTTATATTTTATTTAATTAAACTGTATATTAAACTTACAATCATACAAATAACAGTCTTTTCAGAATTAAAGTTAACATAATATTTCATCACATATCGTAAAGTAACTAAAAGTAATATTTTAGTTTGAAGTGATAAAGCCAAAATATTTGCGCCCAAAAATCATTATTATAATTGCATTTTTAATTTTTTCCCATTAACAATTTTGCTCTTAGTTTTTTTTTTTTATTTTTTCTCAAATTAAATATTATTTTTTATTATAACTTAACTTCATCTTTTTTCCATCTTAAATTATATGCAAAGAATTTTGTCAAATTATTAAAAGGAATTTAAAAATTTATTATTTAAATCTGAAATATTGATCAATTCAAATCAAAAAAAAAAAAATTTGCTTAAATCTCTTATTCAAATATATCAAAATTTATAGCAGAATTTTTATTTTAACATTTAAATTTTTAAAATTGACTGATAATATTAGGATAAAGTGATGATAAAAATAAGTAATACTATGCATATATGCAAATATTTTATTGCGTATATCATAAAAAATGCATTTTTTTTTCAATTGGAAATTTTAATTAAAAGCAATTTTAATTTGCCAATTTTTAATTTAATAAAACTTTTAACATAAAATTTCAGTTTGAATTATCACTTGCATCTGTTATTTGAGAACTACTCGTTTCTTGAGATTCTGAAGATTCTATTTCACACGTCCAATTTTGCGTAGTTTCTGAATTTGTATTCGTATTGCAAAGTAATTTAGTTGGATCAGGCCAAGCTTTCAGTAGCACAACACGTAAAGCGCTACGTGAAACTGATAAATCACAAATTCGTTCCCATTTTTTACAATCAAAACGTACTACTGTTTTAGTCACCATTCTATTATAACCACCAATAGCATAAAAATAATTTCCCATTCTACACACTGCAAAATTTGATCTTAAAAAAATTGTTTAGTAACAAAAAATAATTTAATTGAATAATTTATGTTAGAAATAAATAAATCTAAACAAAAATAACTCAATTTTTTTTTTACTTTAATTTACAATCAGATCAGTAATATTTTTAAAATAAAAATTTCGAAGCATAAAAGTTTTAAATTTTAACAATTTTAAACGTAGCTTGAATTATCCATGTTTTTTTTTTAAATAACAAATCAACAAAAATTTTTATTTATTGTTAAGCAAAAATTGCTAATGCTTTACTAGCAGTTATAGTTTTTGTAAAAGTTTAGAGATAATTTTTGAAATATTTCAAAAAAGTTTAAACCTTGGCATTGGGATTCACTCAACGTTTACAGTATGAGCGCTTTCAATTCGTAGGATTTCTGCGCTGCTTAATCGATTTATACCATCGTATCCATCAGCGATTAGTATAAAATCTGTACGTGCTGCACATGCCAGGCCTAAAAAGTATTTGAAATTTTATTATTATACTTAAAATAATTATTTTCACACTTAATTCAACAGTTAATTTAAAACTTTAACTTTTTTTTTTGTTTACATAAGATTTATAAATTTTGTTTACAGTTCTTGATTAATAATTAACTTAACCATACATCTGTCCAAATATGTTGTTAATTAAAATGTGTAGGAAAAGAATGCTGAAACGTTTTTCAAATTTTTCTTTGCATTAAAATTTTCAGCCAGTAAGTAAGTAAATATGAATAGAAAGAAGAAGATTTTTATTGTATTCTTACGATGTTAATTTAAGCAATTTGTAATAATTTAATTTAAATTGATAAATTTTATTTTATAAAAATAAACTTTTCATTCAATGAATTATTTACCGGATCTTAGTGAGCTCATATCTGAACTTCAGTACAAATATCCATTTCCGGCTTATACATTTCGACAGTTTGTAATACCGTTTCACCGGTATAACCACCAGCTACGTATAATTCACCATCCATAACACATGCTGCTGCATCTGATCGTCGTTGTGTCATATTTCTTGAATTAAATTTAAGAAATGATAGTAGCAATCATTAATATTTCAATTGTTTTTAAAATTTTTTAACCTTAATTTAGGATATTTCAACAAATTCTTTTATTAAATTATACTGATAAAAAAAAAAAAGAAAAAAAAAACAAATTAATTGATAAGAAAAAAATATAATAATCGAATTTTTGTCCATTGATTTTTGTTGATATCATTCATTTCAGCAGTTCGAAGTCTTGATGTGCCATCTGAACCACCGGCAACAATAATTGTACCATTAATTTCACATGCTGATATATAACTACAAAAATTTCATCCAATTTTTTTCTTCTTTTTAAATAATATATATCTGTACTTTTTTTTTTCTATCAAATATATATTAAAATAGTATGTATTAAATAAAATATATTTTCTTATTTTTTATTCTTCATAATAATTTTTTAGGATTTGTTGATTTGTTTACAAAAAAAGGATTTATAATATGTAATTATAAATCAAATTGAATGAAGATGAAAAAAAAAAGAAAACGGGAAATCCGTTGAAATAAAGCAACCAAATAAGTAATTAACTATTTAAATATTTCAATTGTGTTATTTTATTGCAGCAATATTATAATTATTTATTCAACCTAAAATATAATTTTAAATGTTTGTTATTTTTGCCAAATTGCTTTATCCTTTTTTTTAATGATTATATTAAATCTTATCGTAATTATATCATAATATATGATAAATTTTATCATTTTAGTAGTTATACTAAAAAGTTTACCTTTCATAATTCATTGAGTTAATTCAGACCATTCTTTTATTCCACTATTATAACAACGTGTGGCATTAAAATATTGTGTTCCTTCAAAACCACCAACAACATAATTTCTAAAGTTAACATTTTAAAATTTATAGATTTAAATAATAAACAAATTCTATATTATTTGAATATGTAATGATAAAACATACTTAATAAATGATAAAACATAATAAAAACAGAATTTTATTAAAAAAAAAAAATCGTAATGAAATTATTTTCTTCAATAAATAATTCTTTCCTCTATTAAACAAAATAACCAAATAAATATTAAATATTTAATAGTAAAATTTTTACATTATTGATAACGATACATTCATGATAAGCTATTTGACGTTTATCCTCAAGTGTCTTTACACGTTGCCATTTATTGGTACTTATATTTAATACTTCTGCGACATTTGTTGGCCCTCTTTTCTCCCATCCTCCAATTGCTGATAATAAATCACGTGGAATTCCCGTTTCCGTATTCATTGATCAAATCATATCTTTTTGATCATCGATAATGTTTGTTTTAAAAAGTGTAAGATCTTTTTTAATTTCATTCTTCTGAAAATTTTCCATAATGGTTTACTTTATCTTCTTTTTTTTTTCTGGTTATTAATTTAATATTAACAAATTTTTGTTAATGTCTTTTCTCTTTTATTGCCTCTTTTTCTTAATATTCAATATTTGTCCTTTTTAATATTGATTTTTAATTTTTTTAATATTAAATTGTCTTTTTAATCAATATTTTTTAATGCTTTTTAATATTGGTAATATATTTATATTAAATGCTGAAGTAAATGTTCAATTTAAATTTGTTTCTTTTTTTAAGTTTAATATTCATAAACTAATGGAATATTTTGGATGAATTTTAACAGCATTTAATAAATATACATTTACAAATATTTCATATTAATGATGCCTTGTTAAAGAACAGAAATTTTTATGAAAAATTTAGAAAACCATAAAATTTTATTCCTTAAACTCATCGCTATATTTAATTAGAACTTGATTTAAATTTTGCTACAGTGCAGAAATACTTACATCAATCATTAAAGCTCTCATTTAATCATTTTAATTATAATTTATAAATTATGATAAAATGAAAGAAGATTTCTTCGCAAACAGTAATTATTTACCTTTTCCTACACATTTAACTGAACAAAAACTACTGGTATTAATAGTCATAATAATAGTAATAGCATGAAAAAATATATAAGTTCAAAATTATAATTTAAATTGATATAGAAATAAGAGAAAATTTTGTTAAACCTGTTCATCATTTAACAAATTATAACGAATGCACTTCAATAGTTGACGACAATATGGCTACATTTTTTACGATTCATCAAAATCCATCGTTTAAGAAGAATCCAAACATCCATCTAACAAACATATAGAAAATTTTTTTCTTATTTAAAAAAATTAGAATTTAAAAATTTAGCAAAAATTTGTGCTTTATCAATAAGCACATAATATTTTTACGTATTTGTAACACTCAATTAGTATACCTCATCATTTACTTCCAATAAATCAGCATTCAAAATTTCAAATAAATCATTACATTCAAAACGAAAATAATCAAGATTGTAACCATTGTTTACAGATGAATTTACAATATACAACACATATTCAAAAGTCTGTAATAAAAGATAGCAATAATAACTTTTTTGTTCCTTATTTTTTAATAAAGAAAAGGATGGATTTTTTCTTGTTTTTTTGTTTCCCATTTTTTTCAAAAACCTTCACTTTAAATAAGTAAAAAATTATGTTTAAACTTTTTTTATTTGTTCAGATAAATATTTGGCACACATTCGCAAACACCAATATAATTTTCTTCATTGATACCATCAACAAAATTTTGCACAACGCATCGTTTTATGCTGTCTAATTCTCAATTATTTGCCTAAAATTTATATTTTGGAAAATTTCACAAGTTTTACAACAAAAAAGTGACATAAAATTCAAAAAAAAAGAGATATCAGTCAGATTTTGGTTTATTTATAACTGCTTCTTTTTAAAGTGCTGTAAGAGATAATTGTTAGATAAATATTATTAGTCTTAGCACAGAAATATTTCACATAATTTCTCAATGGTAATTAGTAAATATTTTTGTATTTGAGTTGCTTAATTTTGAATTATTGAATTTGCTTTTACATTAAAAAATAATGTGTCAACAACATTATTTGATGACCAAGATTGTAATTATGCTTTTTCACTTCGCTTACATTGAAATGACTAAAGTGTAGTTTTTCATTATGGAAAAATTTTGTATTTGTTTTTAGCATAAATATTACTAACAAACTTATTGATAATACCAATCTTTTAATTAAATTTACAAAAAAATAAAGAAATAATAGCATTCATTGTAAGAGAAATGCTGTAAGGCATAACCACTTTATGAATTTGTTCCAATTGAAGCCAATCTTTTACATTAATATTTTCATATTTCAAAGTGTAAAATAATTCTTTTATCTAAAAGTATGGTAAATTAATTTTATTTTCACTCTAAATTTCTTGAGCTTTTTGAAAAGCAAAAGAATTATTTACTTAAAATTTATTGTGAAAATGCTACATTATGTAAATATATACACTAAAAAAAAGTAATGAAAATTTCAAAAAGAAAAATAAAAACAAATTTACAATATCAATTGAAACTGATGTATGTATGGTATATTGTTGAGTAGTTTCATTGAAAAGCATAAATGGAATGAGATAAGGACAACGATGTTCAACAAATCGGCTATTTAATCGATATCTAAAATAAGTAGAAATTACCGTATTTTTTAATATTACAGTACTGAGGACTATTGAGGTACTATAAATGATACAGTAACTGTAAATTATCAGAATAATACTTAATTGGACTTTAATAAATAGATAACATTGTAAATAATCACAGACAACATTTGTATTTGTGTCATGAATGAATAACAAATGTTGCAGATTACAATAAACACTTGCTATTTATCATCAATAAATGGTAGTGCTGTAAATTACCACAAGAAGAAATGTATCAATCGCTTTAACACATTAACGAAAAACAATACAGTAAAATATTGACAAATAATATAGAGTAGTATATTCACTACTAGCGATAATGAAGAAGTAATACCAAATTTATTAGTTATTTGAGTAACAATAAAAGTAATAGAAACTTTCTATTCCACTACAATGAATTAAATATATAAATATTTCTTCTCCTCTTCCCTTTCTTCTCTCTTCTTCTTCTTACCGATCATTATCATCAGTAATGATAACACAATCACATAACAGATCATCAATATCGCCATCACAAATATTATCTATTTTCATGTTACGGAATTCATTACCGTATGACTTGAGCGCTATCGCAATCCTTGTCAACCATCATATAAGTCAACAGAACACAATGATTACCGCTTTCAAGAAAAAGAAAATGAAACTTATCACCTTTTGAACACTTTTATATATGTCGTTTTTGTAACAAATTAGATTTATGTAAATTTAAAATCAAATACTTCTAATCATGGTGCTTCCGAATCGCTAATACACAAATATATCTTATTTTTTCTCTTATAGTAAGTCTATGTTATTTCCATGATACTATTTTCAAATATATCCTATAGCAAATTTATGAATTTTCTATGATTTTTATCTTAACTGTACGGTATTTTATGAAATAAACCCATTTCCTACGGTATTTTGTGAAATACACCCGTCTTCTACAGTATTATACTTTTCGATATACATTTCACGCGTAATTGTTTTAGAATGCAAATAACAGTAAACATTTGTAAGTGGTACTGAAATGGATGAAATCAGCGCTAATTGTGGATGATATGTAAGTAAACAGAATATATTGTACACGAGATGTATGTTTGCGACAGGGAATGGCTAATGTAGATCGGATTTTTTAAGACATAAAATGTGATGTAGTATAGTATAGATATATGTTTGAAGTATTTCAGCACTTCAAAATTTTTAAGTGTAAAAATGCTACAATTTTTAACTTAGCTTGTCATTTACGTAATCATAATGGAACTAATCTGCACTACTTCTGACAAAAGGATCAAATGACTCAGATGGCTTAAATATAATGATAAATGATGATAGCACTTGCATATTTTAACAGATGTAACTTTACAAAAATTAGGCTTTTCTTTTCTAATTTTTATGATCGAACATTAAACATTACAGCCAATAGTTATTAGTGAAAATGAATTCATTTGTATTTCGTAAATATAATTGTATAGAAAATGATTTTTTTTTTTTTTTTTGTTTTTATCTTTTCCAATCATTCTTTTAATTTTCCTTTTCCTGCTTATTTTTTAAAACTTTTTCTAATCATTTATTTATTTAAATAACAAAAAAGAAACAACACTGAAAAAATATTGAAGGCATTTTAAAAATTGTTTATTAAATTTGAAAAGGAATTAAGAAAAATGTTTATTAAAAAAATGTTGTGTATTAATTTTGCAAACTTTATTATACTTAAAATCAATCTTCTCATCACAAAATTCTTATCATAACAGTACTATCAAATTGTTAAATAATATGACTCATTTCAAGCATTTTTTTTTTTTGCTTCGATTTAATGAATTGCTTATTACTATTCCTTTAAATTCCTTAAAAAAAAAAATTCCTTTAAATTCCGATTCCTTTTAAAGGATTTACCAAATTCCTTTAAAAGGAATCGATAATTTGTCTTTTGTTTTTGGTTTTTATAAAAATGAATTTGACAAAATAAAAAAAAAAGCAATAACATCAACTTTAATTAAATTTTTAAAGATTTAGAAAAACAAAAGTAACATTTGATAAAGCTATAAGCTGATACAGGTAGATGTATCTTTATTATTTAAAATCACTGAACAAGATGAAATGACTCGTCCGATTCGATTTCTTGCAATAGCTATGTACTTAACTTCATCACCAACTATACAACTACTGATTTGTAATATCTACCAATCATTTTTTCGATAAATATCTATAAATAAACATTTTTTACAAATCATAAACAAGATTAGTTTTTGCAATATTTTATTTATGAATTTATAATGCAAATCATTAAAGCAAGTTATAATTTCCCAATAGAAAACAACAAAAATTTCATGCAAAGAATGTATATGCAAGATTTTAATGTTTTCAAATTTCGATTGAATTATTAAATTGAAGCTTCCTTTATCACGCGGTTTATCTTTCTCCGATAGAATTATATTTTAATCTTGAACAATTTTATGAAAGTTATAAGCGATTTCCAAATTAATTAACGTCTTTATGAAACAATAATCAAAAATGATATAAAATTAAAATGATCACATTTACCGTTTCATACTTTCAATGTATCTGTATAATTTAAAAATAGCTTATTAAAAAAAGCTTACTTATTCGTTGATTGCTTGTAATGCGACGATTGCGAAAATGAAAGGTAACATAAGGTATTGGATAGCTCTCTCCTGTCTCCTGTCCTCTCTATCTCTTCTCTCTCCCTCCTCTTCTTTCACTCCTCCTCGTCCTCTTTCCCTTCTCCCCCTTCTCCCCTCTCTCTCTCCTGTCCTTTCTCCCCTCCTTTTCTCCTCCCTCTCCTATCCTCTCTATCTTCCTTCCCTCTCCCTCTTCTCTCCTCCTTCCTGTGTTGGTGATGATTCCATTATTGTTTTGTTTACTTGTGCTTTTTTATCATATTAAATTTTTTAGCAAAATTTTGAGATATTGAGATCAAAAAGATTAAAGGAAAGATATGTGGGTCTAAAAAGAAGATGTATGAGAGGGGCATTTTTGCTATCACAGATAAATGACATTGAAAGTAGACGCTGCAACATTCTCATTATTTTTACTTGCAGAATTCTTCATACGGAATTCATTCGAACAATTCTGTATTAATTATTGTAATGAGAAACAAAATTTTTTCAATGACCGAATTTCAAAATGGGAACAAGACTTATATGTAAAAGAGAGGTTGAATGTCGCATACATTGATTACAACGATAATGATGACTGCATTGGTCGGTTTTCCTCCGTACAGCTTCCTTTAAATCTTCATAGTGCCTCTCTTAATCTGGAAACCTTAGAAGAGGAACTGTAGACAAAATCATATTTTAAATATCCCAGCAACCTAATATTCTTGATATTTCTACAATTGACAGATGAGAAATTCTGTAGATTTGTTCGAGAGGAAAGTAAATGGATTATTGGATTTGTTGGATGAGGAAGCACGTCTACCGAAATCTTCACCTCACTATTTTGGTATTTGCGCTCATCAGCAATTCAAAAATCATTTCTACTTGACAGTTATTTTCAATATTATTATAATGCAACTATTATAAAACAAGTGTTTTAAATATGTCTGATCACCAAGTGTTTTCTAATTTTGTTGAAAAATTTCTCAGAGAAAGTGATATTGGCAATTTATCAGTGAAGTGGGAGATTTTGAAACTTCTTTTTTCCCTTACGTACACATTTTTGACATCATATTGTAATCATTTTCATTTATTTAAATTGACCTCTTCATCAAACTTTCCCATTCACTTCAAAATTTGTTTTTGTTTTAAGTTAGAAAGAAATATACCAAACAGATAAGAAAACTGTAAGAGCTGAAATTTGTCAAATTCTCAATTGGAGAAAAGATTTTTTTGTTTTATTTCTGTAGTAAGTGAGTGATAGTGATGGACGATAGAATTGAACAGAATGGATTGATATGGTTCTCTTTTTTTTTTTAAACAAAAATGATGAATTGCTTAAATTTTTTCAATGTAACTATTGCGATATTCCAGATTTTATTGCAGTTTTTTAAAAGAGATATGTGCTTTTATTTTGAAATTATTAGAATTAAATTGATAATATCGAAATATAATTGAACAAAATGAAACAAAATGGTTGAAACAAAATAGAATGAAATATAATATAACACAAAGAATGATAATCTATGGAATAAGATGATCAGACATTTGATTTTTCCTGATTTCAGAGCATAAATTACAATATATACAGAAGTAGTTGTGTAATAACGGTCAGCGGTATCCGTGATTTCTAACGAAACAATGTAATTTAAAACGATTTATTCATGAGATTGTGAGATACCGAATTTATATAGAGAGAATCAATTGGTATATTTTCGACTTCTCAAAAAATAGAAAAGATACAAACCCACTAATGCAACTAAACGTTTTCAAACTCCAGTTATTACTATTGAAAGAAGATAAGTGCCGAATTCAAATAATTATTAGTCCCACCTTGTTAAAACCATAATTGTGAATTTGCAAATCTCATCAAACATAAAATAAATGCAAAAATTTCACTCATATATATCATAGGCTTCTCAAAAAGCAAAAGTTAAAATTTGTAAACAACAAAAATAAGACATATACGCCGATATTCAACTATATATTATTGATATTCATCCCTAAGCACCCATAAGTTTGAGTTTTTCTGCAATATACACAAACGCTTTAAAATGGATCGAAATGCAAACGAGTCTTCAACTGATATATGATTCTGAAAAAAACAAAGCTCTCACTCGTGAAAATGCACTGAATTCACATCAAATTTTCGAAATCTTAAAAAATTTTGGAAAAATATATGAATCTGATTTGATAGAAATGATACTTTCTTACCTTAAAACTCTGCAAAATTTCATCTGTCAACGCTTGTCCTTTCCTACGAACCATAAATAAACGAATATCTTCTGCCAATTTGTCATATTTATCCTCTTTTTTCACATCTGATGCCTCAGCTGGATTGAAAAATGAAGGATAGTGCTGAAAGTTTTCAAAATTACCCGAAAGAAAGGGGGAAAAAATAAGCATGATTGAAGAATTTGCAAGTAAACTTCTTCCAAATGTTCCTCATCGGTTGTTTTTTGGATATCCAACATGCGTTGTTTCCTCTGACGAATAGCATCCAGCAAACTTCCACCACTGTTAATTCCATTATTTTCACTGAATATAAGAAAAACTATGTCTCGAATGAACAGTGAAGTGCCAATTAAAAGCAAAAAATTTGCAACGAATCTATAGTGATTTTTTCCGTAGTCTAAATTGCTGAATTCCACCATTCAAAATCTGACATGAAGAATTTGAACTAGACTACTGCTCGCAAAAAAAGAAAATTGTACTTTAATAGTGCTGCACCACTAAAAGTCGGTTTCTCTGTATCATCGTAATTGTTTTCAATAGCTGATTGAAATCCAGCAGCTTTCCGCAAACCGAATCGTGGTTTTTCGAAAGGTTGTTTTGAAAACATCCTGAATATAAATGATCAGATTGAAAAATCCCACTTTTTTAGAAATTTCTGAATGATATATTTAGTAAATGAAACCTTCTCGAGCGTCTTAGTGATGCAGCAGCTTTTGCAGCGACAACATTTGCTTCATCTTCAATTAGCTGCTCATCTACAATACCTTTTGCAAAAATTTGATCATGTTGAAGAGCTGAGATAATCCCCGCATTTGTTAGCAATTTTCCAAGTACATAATCGTCCTGAAACAGTCGCTTATATTGAATATTAACATCACTGCAGCATCACACGCTCCTGGACTTGAGCATATAACCCAACTTTTTCAATCTTTCTCCCGGAACGGTATAGCTAGCCATTATGCGTTGAAAGCTCAATTATACTAAAATTTTTATGACACATCGCCTGAAGTCATATAGTGTCAATGATAGTATTACCTGTCCAGAAAATTCGTTTGTTGCTTGTTTATAACGTCGTTTTTTTCGCAAATAAGGAATTTTAATATCTGAACTTTCATCATCCGTCTTATTTCTCTGCTTTTCGCTCTTTTTTTCTCTTGCACCACTTTTTCTTGCTTCAGCGCATTTTCTAATTGACCTAAATTGCAAAAGAAATAATTGTTTAGCAAACAATGAAGAGGAAATTAGTGATAGTTTAGGAAAAGAATTCATGGAAATACAAACCTGCTAATTTTCCGAGCAAGTTCTCGTAATTCGCTAACTTTTTCAGCTGATAAATTTTCCTCGATAAAAGCTTTCGTATCATCACCAACATCATCATCATCATCGAATGTTACCTTTGTGTCAAGTTTTTTTCGTTGCTCCACTTCGTTTTGTTTCTTCTCACGACTAGCAACATTTTTAACTTCATATATACGCTCACTGAGTGTGAAAAACTCTTGCAGCATTTACAGAAAATTAAATAACTAATATCTTTTATACTCAATTTAAAAATACAAACTGAACGAAAAAGAAAGCTTACTCCTTCTCATTTTTATCGAAGAAATTATGTCGAGTAAAATTTCTTGTAGTGCCCTTTAAAATTGCTGCTGTTTCAGTGCCTTCCTTTTTGAGTAGTTTGCTATCACCTATAATAACCTATCATTAACACGACGAATAGAAATACCGTGTAGAAATAAACATGCATAAATTATAAAAAACTTGAAGAGAAATCTGTCACAGAACAAATTAAAATTTCTCAAGTAATTTATTGATGTAATAATATAAATTTATAACAAAACAACCTAAACAGAATAATTCATGTAACTCGTTGGTTTTGAAGAATCTTCGTTGTCTCGGATCAACCAATATACGATTTGACAAGAAAACTTTAAAAATTTGTCTAAAATGAAACCATGAGTACAGCAGAACAAAGACGAAGATTTGAATTTTGCATATATTTTGGGTAAAGAATCTGAAGAAGGCAAAAAAATATGTCAAACCTATGATAAATTTTCTCTTCAATGGTGCCACCGGTTAACAATCTGTATATAGTAACAGCACGTTCCTGTCCAATACGCCATGCTCGCTCTCGTGCCTTCAAATCTTTTCATTGGATTTTTTTTTTTTTAATTCTGATTATATGTATGAAAAAAAAAAAAGGAACTGCATGTGAAACTATTGTATACCTGAATATCGGTAGAAGGATTCCAGTCAGGATCAAAAATTACCACTCGATTAGCACCAGTAAGATTGATTCCTAGTCCACCGACACGAGTAGTTAATAGAAAAATGAAAATCTTATTATTCTGCAATGGTAAAAATAAAGATTTCATCTCTTGTAAAATAAATCTAGATTTTCTAGGTCAATTTTTTTTATAGCTAAAAATTCTAATAAAGTCCTCTACATGGCCAATACCTTATTAAATTCTTCAACAAGTAATTGACGGCTTCTAACAACTGTTGTACCATCCATTCGCAGATATTCATATCTGAGAAAAATCATGTAGTAAAAATTTTGTCCGTAAAATTAGTTTAAAAATTAAGCCATATAAACAAAAATGAAGCAACCACCTTTCTTGAATCACAAATTTTTCCAGGATCGTTAACATTTGTCGACTTTGCGAAAATAACAGAACTTTTTGACCTTGTCGTTTCCACAATTTGAGGAGTGCCTTGAGTACCTGGAAAGAATTCTGAATTTCAATTAGTCAAGCATTCCAAAAAAAATCATGCGAAAATGAAACTTTTACCATTAATTACCTGCATTTTGCCACTTCTACAGGGAGCTCCAAAGCCCATTTCCTCATCAGCAGTGACATCATAGTCATCTGTAACAGTGAGAAATTAGATCAGTCATATTACATGGTGCAATCTTATTAATGCTTTGACAAGAGCATGTGTGTTGTAGCATATAACTAAAATAAGTCTATTCACATTTTCTCATATCATTGATGTAAGTAAACAGTGAGAAGCAAACAATAACTCGTATGCAATTTTGCAAAATATTTAAATTTGATTATTAAAACACGAAATGCATACTAAATTTATTTGGTCCACCAGTTACAAGATCTGGATGATTACACAATTTGCGTAATGTAATTAAACCAACGAATGCATCCATTTTACCAGATAAAATACGGTCACACTCACGAGATGATAAATATTCTTCATAAAGTTTACGTTGACATGGTGTAATATTGCAAAAAAGCACCTTAAGGAAGAAAAGCAGTAAGTGACTCAAAGACTAGTACCTTGTATTAAAATAATAAAAGGGGTCTGAAATTAAATGAAAAAAATAAAAAAGTACCAGTAAAAATCAACCTGTTCTGTTTTCGTGGGTAAATGAATAGACATTTCAACATCCTTTTTCAAGCGTCTTAAGAGATAAGGGTTGATCGCATCCCTGAAATTCTAAATTGTAAAAATACATAAAATTTATCAGAAATTTTGAAAATACCATGATTCAAAAGGATGTGGAAAAGTTTAAAATACAGCAAGAATGTCAACAAAGCTACTACTGAACCTTAACTTTTTTTTAGCAGTGAATCACTATGCAGCAATAATACATAATCTTTACAGAAAGAGACTAATATGTGAGAAGGTAGCCTTTCTTTTTGAAAGTTATGATGAGACAATCACTACCATAAAATTCCTACTTAGTGTACCAATACATTTCTTAACATATCTGGAATATCTTTATTAAGAATTAAGAACCTCAAAATGCAGGCACATTTATAAGCGGTACGCACTTGAACCGCAGTAGCGTTTGCGTATCCTCCCTGAGTGATTGGAATTGAAAATTTATCCATGAATGATTTCAAAGCACCGAGGCGACCGGGATAAACGAAATCGATCAATGACCTATAAATGATATTCCGTTCTTATTGTTAGGTGAACATCAACATTATATAACATTGTGATAAAAGAGTTTACAGCTTAGTTAACTTAGCTTTTTAATAAACATACTTCAAGTTTAGTCGACAAAAATATATTCTATACATATCTGAATGCACAGTGACCCTAAACTGGACTGAAAATAGCTTAAACACATACCATAACTCTCGAAGAGAATTTTGCAACGGTGAACCGCTTAGAATCAATCTGTGAGGAGTACGTATTTCTTTCACGGCAAGAGTAATCTTAAAATTAAGACCTGCGATTTTAAGCGTAGAGAAAATATTAAACAATGACCTTAGGGACATCTTACTTTAAAATAAATAACTTTACCTGCAAAAAGAATCCGAAGCAATAAAAAATTAGTTGGGAATTAAGTTGTTTATTACACTGCACTCCTGAGCGTCCTTTGCTATACTTTCTATATGTTTTGAGAAATGCGTATCATGATAACTTATTCTCCTAGATTAATAATCTCCTCCTATCATATAAAGACTTTGAGTTATAATCGCATTCATATTTAAAAAAATGTAGAAATCAACAGATGGGCAAAACGAACATGAAGACTCCTCATGAACTTTTGCGAAGCATTTTACACAAACTCAAATAAAAACTCGTATAAAAAAGTAAAGACAACTACTACCTGCGCATCCGGGTTTCTAATTTTATGCCCCTCGTCAAGTATTATATAATGCCAGACTTTGTCAATCAAGTGCTTTCGATTTTTAGCAAATGTTCCATATGACGTTAACAAAACACTACCATCGCTAAAAGTAGCTTGAAAGCATATGTGATATTTAGTACAACTTTAAAACTCGAACTAAAATAGCTTTATTTTTAATGATGTAATTAAATACAATATTCCTCCAGTACTATTTTTTTAAATCCAAAATTATTTAAATTTCCATTTCCAAACGGGAAATAAACCTTTGTGATACAACCATTTTCCGAATTAACTGCGCACTTTGACCGTGGAAAGAACCACTAATGTGTAAAATTGCAACACGACAAAGTGGGAACCATGTGCGGAATTCTTTCAACCACTGCCTTATTAGTGTTGTTGGACATATAATTAGCACTGGACCAAGGCCAGAAAAGCTATAAATAAATAATTTGATAAAGATTCAGGAAAAAAAAAGCCTACAAATACTTCCTTAACAAACTACAGATATTAAGGAACCATAATATATAATAATTTGATGATACCTGAATCCTCTATCCTCCAAACATGAAAATGCTAGTCCCCTTAGGAATGAAATCACTTGAACTGTTTTTCCAAGACCCATCTCATCAGCTAAAATGCCACCAACACATTGATTATGCAATTCATTCAACCACCTTACACCAGTTTTTTGATACCTGTAATGATTCAAAACAATGTTGCTCTTATTCAAAACTTGAACTACTTCGAACAACCTACTGCTTTATTCTGATTATGCACCCTACCAACTCCTTCATAACTTTGCTTTATGTTTGTCTATTCAAAACTAGCAAATAATAGTAAGGATAAATCCGACAAACTTAATTACTGCGTGATGGAACTTTGGCACTTGACATAGGAAAACCAACAATCTCTAAAGTATATTTTAATTTTAGTAGATTCTCTTACTCTATTTTAAGCATTCACATGAATGACCAGTGTACAAATAACCCCGTTTCCAAATTTCATGCTAAACAAAATTCTAGTCTAGCTAGAATTAATGCAGTATTTCATATTTGAACATTACCAATATTACACATCCGCTATGTTATCTACAAAATCTCCTGAAAATAGATTAAACTAATGATTTCTCCTTTTATAAATTACTTACAAGAAAAACAAACTTGTAGAGCTTTTCCCAACAATCCTTAGGTATTTTTATGCCATTTTTCAATTCGTGAAAATCACTATCCTTTGATTGATTTCCCCCATTTTCAATTTTTGAAAGTTCCAGTCGAGCAAGATGGGTCCTGAACATAAAAATAAGAAAACTGTATTTATTTAAATAAAACCTATTAGATTCTAAAATATCTGGTCACAGAAATTCTTTGAGAATAAGAAACTCAGACATCAAGTGTCAATTAGTTATTGATTCGTTTTGTACCGTATTCTTTTCCTAAAGTAATCATCGTCAGCATCATCTCGTTCTTTCCTGCCAATTTTTTTCGTCTTTACTACTTTTCGTGAACGTTTGTTTTTTATTACGGGTTCTATTTCAGACGACGTATTTCCATCATCTTCACTTTGAGCAAATTCACTATCGGATGTAGAACTCACTGGTTCGTCACCTTCCAACTGCACTGTGATGTCTGCCTGATAAATAAAAGTGCATGAATAGTGAGAAAGCGTAACTGTCTATTACTCTTCCGTTAGAAACTTGTCGAACGAAAAAAAAAAAAAAAAAAAAAAGATAAATTGAAAACAGAAACATTCAAATAAGATTTAGAAACGAACTATACCTTTCGCTTCTTACCCACTTTCAGTTCTTCCACCAGAGTTTCTGAAGTATCTCTTTGTGATTTATCAAGCACTTCAAAAGGAGTCATATCACCATTTTCTACAAGTGTAGATTGTGAATTTTTAACTATAAAATTCTGTAATCCTTCTGCATTTGCATTCTGTGACACTCCAGTTTCCAAGGCAGCAACATTTTCAGCAAATGTCTTTTCAACCTAGAAATCAAGAGCAAAAATACACATTATTATAAAAGGAAATAGCACAAGATAAGCAAAGTCTCGTATTAATTTATATGAATAGAAACAATAATGTTATCATCTTAATTCGCTCACTTATTTCATTTCAAAGGGACTTGTTTAATTTAGTACATCATTCATTAAAGTGCCTCAACTACCGCTGCAAATATTAAGAAAAATCTTTCCAAAGACAGAAAAAGTAGAATACGAAAATTTTACTTTGAAGTAATTTCTCTTAAAATTTATTGTAATCAATGTATAACAAAGAAAATTTTTTTCATATTTTGGCGCTCATATAATTATATATCATATGAAGTTAAGCGAATCAGAAATTACTCAAAGAGAAAAATTGCCTGTTGCAGTAGGCCTTGTTCAAGCTTAGCAGCACTGTATACAGCAACATTACTGCTATCAAGTGCCGCAAGATCATTCACATTTTTCCTGTCCTCCCCAATTTCTTCACGATTAAAACTAAAAGTTGTTCGTCGATAGCAATCCCGTTCATTTTTTCTATTATAATCTTTTTCCTGTTTACTGAGGTCCATTCGAAAGAACAAAACATCAAATTGATCGTCACACACTTCTTAAAAATGCAATACCTATATTGCACAGAAAAATTTTCTTGCAATTATAGATGTAACAATTATGATAAGATAAAAGCTTAATGGAATTATCACCGTCACATATATCACAGATTAAAAATAAAGCGCACAGTGATGCATTGGTAATATATTCAACAGAATCACTTTACTTTTTTTTCTTAAAGCAACCAGTTATCATCATTCATCTTATTGACCACTGATAATTCAACAACACTTAGTCATACAATCATATCTATTAATTTCAATAATTCGTTTCGTTTTTTATTACATTTCAATTGTGCTTAAATACAGAGAGAATAATACGTATATTCCAGATGAAATAAATGTGAAACTTAATCCTAATACTGAGATTGAGTTTTGACTCGTTTCTAAAGCCTATACTAGTTATTTTTTAATTCAAACATTTAATAGCTAATTATCAGTACAACATAGCCGAGTCCCAATACTACAGCAGCCCAGTCACCAAGCTAACCGTACTAGGTTCATTTCGAAGAAAATGATAACTGATATGAATTAACAGTTATCACTTTTTTCTCTGCCCTCTTTCATACGTGCTTGATATTTTAAACCGTGACATTCTTCTCAATCGTCTCTTCTTAATTAATGCTATTCTCACTTCATCAATCTCTCTTTCCAGTATGCGTCTTCTTAAATTTCCTCACTATCTAATACAAAGTTAGCGAATCGCCTCAGTTCCTCCATTGTACTCATACTGGACATCCAGTAAACTGAACCTAAGCCGTACTTTGCTTACGTTTTTACTCGGTGACGTGTGCGTGTGTTGGATAGTTTCTCTCTTCATTTCTCGCAGAATAATGTCAATATCCAACGTTATTTCAAAGTACCGTTCGCGAAACTTGCTCGTGAACATATGAATATGTGTGGTATATTCAGAACTGTACATAGCTTACCTTGAAGCTTTCCTTTTTAAGTTTAATAAGCAAACAATTTCATGATATTCAGGACTCATTCAATAACGGTTACTTCATCTAGGATTTTGTATATCAACATTTGCTCATTGAACAATTAATAATGAGTGGACGATTCTATTTTAGTTTGTTAAAAGAGTGTCAATAATAAAATTTGAAGAATATATTTACCATCTTAGATATATTGGAAGTAACAGTAGCTTCACATGGTATGTGGTATGCTCATTTCGATGGACAATGGGTTGTACGTCAGATAGAATTACATCCTAACAAAAAACCTGTATTACTTCTTGCTGGTATGTTATGTACTTCATCCCTCTCCAAGTAATGACTATACTTCATCCCTCCCCACTTCTTCCTATATCAACAGATAGATCTAGATGATCGTCAGCGATAATAAAATTTGGATATAGAGGCATTCATAAGTTTACTTTAGGTTGTTCATTCAGTACTCCATCTAAACTTTCAGGATACCATCGTCAGATTATTCTCCATCACTACCTACATTAATAATGAGTTTTCTTCGTTTAGGCCGAGATGATATGGAAATGTGTGAGTTGTCTCTTGACGCAACGCAGTTGACAAGGAAAAAAGGTGCGGAGATAACAGCTATTGAATTTGAAACGGTGTGGCATCAGTGCGGTGGATCAGTATATCACGTCCGTCTCAACATGAAATAAAGTAATACATTTGTCGAGATTATAAATTCAACTTTACCATTTTACGTTGGAAGCCAATAACAATCGAAAATAAAAATAGGCTTAATCAAAGTTGGACACTAAAGGTGAGTGGGATGTAAAAGATATAAAATCCCATTCATGAACAAAAAGCGTACCAAATATAAAACAGCAGAAGTTATCAGATGAATAATGGAAAAAGTGAATCATTTGTACAACGGATGTAAATGCGAAGTAAAAGATCTAGTTCTTATCAATGCTATTTACTCGTGCGATAAGCTGACGGGTACGTCTTCTCTCTTCATCTGCTTCTGCGCCTAAATTAATTTCATACTCCTCAAGTACCTGAAATGATGAGAAATACCTCAACACACTCCCAAATGAAAGCGACGGAAATGATTCATCGATTGAAATATAAGATATACGCAGAAAAACACTGCGCTGTTAAGTAACAAATGGTTTTTTTGTGTAATCATCATGGAAGTTATGATCCAATGCAAAAATAAACATTGGAAGATATGGGTGATTACTCAAGACAATGAAACCCAAATAATAAAAAAAAAAAACATGGAAAAAGGTCCAGAAGAATAGGAGAAAAACACTAAGCATTTTACTTAATTTCCGAAAATAATCATATAAGAACATAAAACAAATGTGATTAAATTAACAGTAAGGAAATCAGTAAACAAACCGGCACAAGATGTTTGCTGAGCTTTCCATTCCCAGTTCGCATCTGAAACAACTTCACCGCTCGATTACGACAGCCAGGCATTGCACTTGAACATATATCCGCAAGAATTAAAATGATTCGTTGCAGCGTGTACAAACCAGCATCCAACTTATCCAGATACAGTTGTTCAATTTCATCATCAGATAATTTGCTATTCTGTGTCAAATTAACTTGACGGGCATCAAATCGGTCCACACGTTCTCTGAATACATTTCAATAAATAACGCTGTTGATTAAAATAACTTCAATTGTATACAATAGAAAGAAAAATCAGAATAAAATATATGTCTAATTCGAACGGAATTTTAAATTCACAACATCGCACAATCTTCCTTTTACTTTATCCTTTCTAATCAGTTACTCCAACTTCCGAAGGATAGTAACTCAGAATGAAAAGTATCACTCTCTTTTGCATAGTAGAAACTAATTTCAGAAGCAAAACTTGCTGGTATTTTAGGACGAGTTCAACAGCACGGTCAACTTTTTCATATTCATGTTCGCTAAATTTCGAAAAAATTCGACTGCGTCCTTCTTCACCACAAGACCTCAATAAAGATGACAATACCTACAAAACTTCGCATTTTTTTTTTTTTTTTGCATCAACAAAACAATAAACACAAATCCATAACAATAATAGTAGCAGTCATTCCTTACAACTTAGATAATAGAAGGAACTGAATGTTTTACCGACCGAACAGACATGCTCTTCATGTTCGTCTGGTGTTGAATCTTTTCTTTTTTGTTTTGCTGGAGTCCTCATAAATAGCGGAAAAATTGTTCGCAAACCGGAAAATAAACTCATGAAAGTTTTGAATGAACAATGCATAAACTATGGATTAACGTCAGAAAATACGACGAAGCATTATAAAAAAATTTATTCGATAATTCCTCAAACTGTTTTCAGCAGTCATTTTTCGCAAGCGTGACTCAATGTAGACGATTATTATCATTAAAAAACTCACCGAGAATATCTATGAATTTCGCACAATTGGATCTTCCTTCTATACCATTTGTAGCATAATCCAAAACTTTTAGTGCACTTTCACGTGACTGCTTACGTTCCCTAAAAAAATTGGGGACTTTCATTTAGGTGAAAAGTGAATACGTGAAAAAAAAAAAAATTTTTGTAATGAATTTGACAAAAAGTAATAAGAATTTTGAAGACTGGTCACATATTAGTACCTCAACATAAGATTCATTAATTGAAGGCCTTCACCATCCAAAAATTTCTGTCTATTTGGAGCATACATAAGCGCAGCGCATACAGCATTAAACAAGTTCTCCATATGCTCCCGTTCATCTGCACTGCCAGGATCATGACGCTTGTAAGTGGCCAAAGCCTAGAGTATATTAAATTGCACGAAAAAGTCCAAATTCATATAAACGAAGAAATTTCATCAAAAACCTACTGATTATGAGCCTTTTAGAACTTTTGAAATTGTAATATAATAAAAACTTACACGAAGCAGTAAATCGAAGCCATCAACTTTTTCGGTTAATCGTTTTCTAGCTAATTCAGTTGACTGCAGAAGCAAAGAAAGCAATTCACTAGCAAACATCTTATTGGCATCCAAAGCTCCTCGTTGAGTTGCACGACGGAGAAGCCAAGCAAACAGGCCCTGTTCGACACAGATATCAGCAAATGACGGTCGGAAATCGAGCACCTGCAGAAAAAAAAAATCAAATTCTACAGCAATTAAGGAGGATTAGCTTTTAGATGAATTACTTTTTATGATGATGTCTACTGCACTCGTAATGTTTGCAAATATACAAACAAATGTCAAATGTTAAATTCTTCATTTTCAGTCCTTCAGCAATAAAACTTATAATAATATTTCATGGCAAATCACAGTTTTGAATTATTTCCCGCAATTAAACCAAATCTTAATTCGAAAATACATTGACTTTCCAAACTGAAGGTAAAAATCTACATTTTCTACGACTGATAATGCATTATGGATTGCATCGGCTTCGTCTTTTATAGTTTCATCCATACGTTCAATGCTTTGCTGTACTAATGTTTCAATTAGTTGATCAGCAACCAACACATCAATTAGTTTTGCTGCCCCACTTTCACCTTCATTCAACGTATCAACATCTGTTAGTTCCTTTAAATACAAAAAAAAGAAAAAGAAAAGGAAAAATCGATAAGGTCCCGCAAGTATTATTCGAAATTTCTTTCTAGAATTCCAAATCTTACAAACGGTCGCTAATATCTGGATCATAGTAAATAAAAAATACTAACTACGAATACAAATAACTACGAATTATCGAGAAATATTGAGAATATGCATAGTTCGTGTTTTTGAAAACTTTTTTTTGAAAAGTTTGAATTTTCGAAATCTAATGATCTTAATATAATTTAGTATCACATCATATTTGTCGTACCATATTACACTTACCGTGGTACCGTATTGTTAAAATAATTCAATACCGTACTACACTATAATTTACTGTTATCAGTTAAAATTCCCTATAAATTTCGTGCATCAGTTCAGAGAAACCTGCAACAGATTGATGACGGCACCAACAACGTCAGAGTTTTCGTGAGCTAATAATTGCAAAAGGGTAGCTGTTCCGCCATGATCAACAAGTAGTTCATATAAATCGGGTTGCGTTGCCAAAGCATGCATCTCCTAAAACAGCAACACATAATCCATATGGAGATATTTTTAAAAAAGTGTTGCTAAAATAATTATAAAACCTGTATTGCTTCATTTAATTCAATTTCGCTTTCCATAAACTTTGCCGGTTCGTCGCCATATTTGATGCGCATCTCTCGATTTTTCAGACAACGTTTCTCCAGCTAAAACGCTGCAAAATGTTGAAATGCTAAAATTAATAAGGTAAAAGTAATTGAGCTTAAGGAAAATAACAACCCGAAAAGCATAAGTGAAACTAAGACTTGACCTGCATAACAATTCGTTTAACAGCTGCTTCATCAACAACCACTGCCTGTGATTCATCCCGCTCCAATGCAGCCAGAATATCTTCTGGTGTGGTGGTTGCTGTCGATAAATTCGAAATATCAATGCGAGGTCGTTTCAACTTTACCTTAAAGCAGCATTAATGCTAGTCAATATTTCACTTAGCATTCAAAATGCTATACCTGAACCAGTGACTAGTGAACTAATATTTTAATATCAAGAATCGGAAAGACCAAAACCACCAAAAATGTACAAGGGAAAATCACCTCAGCTGATGCTCGTAGAATCTCCGTCACATCGATAGAAGACATTCTTCTGCAAAAAGAAAAAAAAAATGTGCAATATACAAACAATTTAAATCACAGACTAAGCTAGCAGAACTCCTTTTAATTAGTCTAAACAACTGGTACACAAAACATCACTGAATTTTCTTGCACTACCAGAATAACCCGTCTAAAGCCACGTATCACCCAGAAAGTTCTTTCCCAAAATTTACTGCCTATACAATTTCTTTAATTATTCTAGTTCACCTCCGGAAATTAATAGAAGTCATAATAATGCAGGTAAACTGGTCCAACAATACAACCTGTCGGTTTCAAGAAAGAAGTGTGCAATCAATGTCATTTATTTAAATCACAGTTATTAAAACATAGAGATCGAAAAAAATGTAAGATACCAAGGAATTAATGAAGATTCAGTGTTCATAATAGAGAGGAATACATGTCGTAAAAGCCAGCATAAAAACGTATTAGATGTTACCATTTACATTCAATTTTTTCTTCCTTTTTCTTTTTTTTTTTAACATTTCCTGAAGGCATCTGCTCCGAACAACATTAAACTTGAGCAAACACAAGTTCAAATATGGATGTTACTAAACTAATAACATTTAAATCTCAGAAACCACATTTAACATTTCAGCGATTGAATGGCTAACTTTTACGAAATACTGTTCATCGCCAGTAATATTCCACTTTGTTTCTGAAAGTAAATTCAACAATTCCACGCGTTTATTTCTTTCTGCTTCATTGCTGCTATCACATTCAGAGATCAAGCATTCATAAAGTTGCTGAGCTGCATTACGTCGTATTATGGGATAACGGGATCGCAAATTGCGAACAACCTGCAACATATTAATTATAAACTCTTGAAAGCCATCGAAGTCAAATAAGATCTGTAATTGTAAAAGCAACTTAAGTGAAGTCTTGCAAAAAAAAAAATATCCAAATCTAAGAATAATCGATGAAGAAAAAAACTTGCCAATGACGCAGATTTCTGCCATACCAGACTAGATGAATTAAAATGCAAGAAATGGCATAATACTGAAATACATATCCGAACTTTCTGCG